TTCCCAAATAATGCAGCTTCTACAAATATAACTTCAGATGTGGACTTTATAAAGTTCTGCTTCTTGCACTTCCTCAAGTGAGAATTAATCCATGCTGCCACAGAAAGCAACCAGCATCTTCCCTGAGCCTAGTATGCCCACTTGCCTTGCTCTGGGATTTGCACGTCCATCAATACTGGGCAGTAATCTTGGCCTTGTCATTTATTAAAACAGGGAATTGTGGGATTTTTTAAGAAGTTTGTTCCCATTTTCTTCAGAAGAAAATCTGATCCAAACTGAAGACTTCAAGTTTTAGTTGTAAAGTTTGTCCAGCTGAATGATGATTACATTTATAGGAAACTAAATATGTAAGAAATACAGAAAAGCAAAAGCTGCTGGAACAGCAAATAATTTTTCTTGATACAAAAGAATCTGATTTTCTAACACAACTATTACAAATAACTATATTAAGCTCTCTCTTTAAAATTGTCTTTTAGTAAATGGACTGTAATATGCACTAGAATGAAGTTTGCTGAGTGTCTTAGGTTAGTTTGATAACCTGCTGATGCCCTTATGCCATGCTGAGGCAAATATTGCCTGTACAGAGCTTCTGCCTGTAAATGACAGTTTCCTGAGAAGTCTGATAAATTTCAACTATTTCCTTAATTTTTCTTTTTTTTTTTTTTTTAAAACCAACCAAACAACCAAACCCTAAAAAACCTTCAGAGATTTACATGATGGACAAATATTTGAGAGTATTTTGTGATTCTTTGATAAGATTTTAATCGGCTGCTATAGAATTTGGAGTCCTCACATTTTCCTATGTCATTCTTAACAAATGGCTTGTTTGAGGCCACTCTTGCTAGAGTTAATATGAAATACTCACTTCGAGAAGTCTCAGAACAGTGACGGACCTCAGCAGGACAAAGAAAAAGGAACTTGCAAATACAGCAACTAGAGCTGATTCATGACCTGGGAGGCTGCCTTTTGGTGGGGTTTGGCTGGTTGTTTGGTGTTTTTTCCCTCAATGTTTCCAACACTTAACAGTACTTTTTCATTATCATCTTTTATGAAAGAAATTAATTCTTTTTTAAGGGACCTGCAGTTTCTGGCTGCTTCCACTCAGGAACAGTAGAGACTATATATAAGACTGACAGGAAGGTGGAAGAGCAAGGAGAAAGGAATATTAAATGTGAGTCTGTCTTGGGAAGTTTGAAACCATGTTCTTTTGAAGGGGTCCCTACTGGTAATATAAACATGTGAGAACCAGACAGAAACAGATTAGGATAAATAATAACTTGTTTACTTTGTGTACAGTGAGATGTACTCATCCTCTTCCTAATTAAACAATGTAGTAGCAAAGCCTTGCAGCATACACTTCATTTCAAGCACAAATTAACTAATTCTGAGCTTCAGAAGTAGAAAAGATGTTCCACTAAATCTGATTTTGCTTTTCCAAAATAAAACCATGTAAAATACCAACCAAAGCTAGGATGGGATAGCCTGCTATCTAAACCCGCTTCTAACTCTGTTGTGTAACAGCTTTACAATGATAGAGATTATGTGCGTCCCTGCAGAGGACATGACAAAACTTGAGAACTTGGCTCAGACCATATTACAGACAGACTCTTGGTTTCCCCACGTTTTTGTTTTCTGTAGCTTAAATGTATGCATGTTGCACATGCATGCATTGAAATAAATGTTCTACTTTTATCCAAGTATATAAAATGCCAGGTTTCAATTTGCAGAAATTTGCACTATGTTCATATAAAGCTGCAGTGTTTTTCACTTAAAAGAAAGATAAGAGATTCCTGATACAGACCTCATTGTTACCAGGTAATGCTGACAGCCACACATTTTTCACTTGTTATTGGCAAAATACCGTGACAGCTAAAAAGTATCACTTAGAAGTAGGGAAATTTTAGTACTGCAATAAATATTTCTCTGTCTAAATTGCTTTGAATTAAGGTATTCCCCAATGCTATGAAAGACTGGAATGAATTCATATTTATGAATAACTGAAACTTTCAGGTAATAATTTGCTAAGCTCTTTCATAAACCACTGTAGATGCGGCTGCATATGACAGGCAGGTTTCTTTTTAAGCGTGAACTAACCTTGGAATTAAACATTCATCTGCCCAACATACTAAAATATAGTTTTGTATTATTTAATATATTATCATATATTTATAATAACATGTTATTATGTTATATGTTATTATAAATCTTCAGAAATTTGTGAGGTGTCCCAATGAACTATAGATTTAAAAGCGATATCATTAGTGAAGGACTGCATTAAATGCTCTCTGAAATTAGACTTACATATTCTTTTTAATAGAGTAGGATGTGATTTTTATATTTTTAAGTATTGATCTCAGAATATCTGCGTTCTGGGCACCCAAAATGACACCAATATCCTGATTGCTGAACATGCTGAGCACTTCTCTGAAAATAAACCCTTCTGATAGTAGCTCATATTAGACCCTTTTGTCTTGGCCGCAGCCTGAAGTTTTTCCCTTGGTACTCCCCATAAAACATCTACCTATGCAGTATTTTTAAGATCCCTGAAGAGCAGGAATGGCTTCAAAATCCGAGGTATAATTATCCCATTATTCCATTCCTCCCCATGAGAAGAAGGTAATGATTTATGGTTTAATTCACTCTGAGCAGCTCAGAGGAACAAAGCCAGTTCTGTCCAGCCACACACATTTTAGCTGAAAGGTAGACCTAGGTGTGCACTTTGGAACTGAAATTTTCTCTGAAACTGCCAACTGACAAAAACAGACGCCGTTTCTATGGCATCTGGATTAGAAACAGTTTTCCAGATTCTAGAAGATGAACCAACTGTTAATTGGAAACAAATTTAAAAGCAATTTATTTTTTCGTTTGGGTTTTCACTGTCGTTCATTAGGTTTTTGTCATTGCATTAAGAAATCAAAACTTTCCCTAAGGGTTATAATTGATACTCACACTGGTTTGATACTAAACAGGCATTATAAATATTTTCTATATATATAGTCATAAAATACTAAGTGTCCAAAATAACCACTTTCAAAGTCCCAATCTCTAACCGTCTTCTGCAATGGAGATACATATCTTTGGGTAGCTGAACAAATTAATCATGTGGGGTTTATTTTACTGAATAAATGTGGCTATAACTGATGAGCTCCGTAGGCCACTTTCATTTTTCTAAATAAAAAGAGACATCGAAGACTGTAGCAGATTATGCTTTCTCCTATTACTTAACTTCATCCTGTAACCTAGTAAGGCGTTTTGTCAAGACACAAGGCTATTCGATTCTTAGTTGCTTTGCTGCAATGGAGAGAAGCGGGAAGATAAGTTGTGCATTTTCATTTTATTAGATTTATCCCTTCAGACTGCTGGCTGCAGGCTGTTATTGTAACATTTACCACAGCAGAATGAGCTGCTCTCTGTTTCCTGCTCCAATGGAAAAATCAGATTATGGGAAATGGTTCCCTGGTGAAAGGCTGGTTTGTGTGAAGTGCTTTGTGTCCTGCGCAGTATGGAAAGGAGGGAGTGTGGGCTCCGAGGCCTCAGAAGCAGATTACTCTGCCTGTGGCCTGGCAGTGGCACACACCTCAGTGACTTAGCTGCTCTTGACTGTGCCCTGCAATGTCTGGTGCTGTCAGAGTAAAAGTTAGAAAGCCAAGCAGCAAAAGATAGAACTTTTCTCCAAGGAGCAGCTACCAAAGTTGGTACCCCTGTGTCTCTTTGGGTTCCTAGCAAAAGCAGTTTCTCCTTTAGATTTTAATTCCCACAAAACTTCTAATGCATGTCTAAATGCTTGATGTTCAAATACTGAGGGGGTTTACACTCAAACAGAATGAAAAGGTCAAGCTGCTTTTCCTTCGGCAGAAGTTCTGGCATTTTATTTCCTTCTCTTGTCTGTCCCTGTCTGCCTTGTCTCTGCCTGCCTTCCCTCTGTTGGACACAGACAAGGCTGGTTTCTTGGCTGTTTGGCCAATTCTTCACTAAAACTTGCATAAAGAATATACTGCATTGTTTTGTAAAGTAAGTGACAAACTTGTGAACTGATTCTATAAATTTAAATGTTTTTTTTCATGCTGGCTATGCTGTAAAACACAATAGCAACTTACACTCCAAAGTACAACTACAAAACCAAAGTTCTCTCTGTAAAAGCCTTCCTGAGCAACTGGAATTTAACTGTTGTTGAAGCAGCCTTTCTTGTTAGCTGTCTCAAAGTTTTTATTCACTTCACTATTTCTTCACTGGATGGTTGTTTGCAGCTAAAAGAAAGCTGTGTCAGGATTTCACAGTTTATAAACCTGTTTCTTCTAACAAAAAAAAAACTTATTACCACATTTATTTTGTTGTTTCAACACTGCCCTTTTAACTTGTCTAGATGCCTCCTTCCTTGATGCTTACCTCGTAGTGAATTTAGTGACAACTGACCTATTCTTTCACCAGTCATATAAACCTTAATCCCTCAGCCTTGCATCATGTACTAGATTCTCTATTTCCTTGTTCCTTCCTGCACCTGTGCTAATTAGAGTACATCTTTCCTGGATGTGAGTAACCTATATTACACACAAGCTCTATTGCTCAGTAGAACATATTTGTAGAATCATTTAATGTACATATTCATGAGCAGTAGAAAATATATCCAATGAGACTGAGAAAACATGACACAGAAGCTTCAAATAAAACCAGAATCTCCAAACACTGGATAAAAATGACTAGAAGGTCCTGTCCTAACAGCAAGTTAACAAAACTTGCAGTGGATCATGGAGAGTATCTACTGTACACAAAGTAATCATGTTATGTGTTTCTAGCTACGTGCAAACTAATAAACGTAACGGGACAAGAAGGGAAAGGGCAAAGTAGCTTAGTCTCAAATGACTGCTACATAAGTTGGCATCTCTGTAGGTCTGATGCATTAAGAATACACACTCACGCCCAGCCGCAGCAGCAGATGTGCTGGTAGGAGAGGAAAGAGCATTGGATAACGATACGTGACTAGGGCTAGAAATATTGGTTACATCCTGGGTCTGGCTTGTGACGGAGGACTGTCTCCTTAGAGCCCCCTGAAAGGAAGTGCCACTCTTGAAAGTATTGACTACTTCGATCTGTAATGGAGGAAAGAATGAGACAAGTTGCTTAAAGTATGGATACAGTTGCATAACTAACAGGAATAATAATGAAAAAACAATAAATCAACCGTGCACACAGTTTTACTTCAATCGAAATAAATACTTCTAAAGTGTTCCTTTCAATAGTTTTTAGGTATGAAATGATCCAAATTTTCTGCCTGGCTAAAATGAAACAGCTCTATAGGAGACAGTGGAGCTACATCAGTTTAAACAACTAGATTTGAAATAACAATCTTTAAAACTTAAACAATTTTATTTGTATGTAAATAAAATAAATACAACCAGCATACCTGCTATATCTAAACTGTTTTCCTGCTAAGAGTAAATTTACTTTCTTACTGATCTCTAAGTGTTCTCTCAGAGGGAGGAAAATTCAGTCACTTCATTGGAATTGGGGAGGAACAGGGACAATACCCAACAAACAAAAAACCTTTAAAGTATCCAGATTATGACTGGATTTTGCTTACAAAACCAGGGCTGTCACTATACCAGCTTGATCAAATAGGAAGTGTTCCACTATCTCATCTGACTTTTTCTACAATGAAAGTTTGTATAAGCACAGTGATAATGAATATTGGTATTTTATAACTACAGACTTAAAAATATTCATATTTTATCTTTATACAGAGCACTTAAAATCACACAGAAAATTATGTGGAACTGGACTGACTATTGCAGCAAATAATATTATCATTTTCTACTTGCTATTTTGTTATGACTGTTGTATGCACTTTTTGATATATCCTTCCTGAATATCTGTTTTATTCATCACCACAGAAGATGAGTTAAAAAAAGAGCTGAGTATTTCAAGGCATTCTTTGTCACCAGTATAACCCAATAAAAAGCAGGCTCTGCATACAGATGTGAACCAAGGGATTGGCAGTAGATATTATCAAGTAGTATATATGCGACAAGTAGCTCCACCCCAAAATGTCCTCTTCGTCACATTAGTACATCACAACATGTAGCAGTAGTAGTAATATCAATTACAAGAATTCAACCAACTACTTGTTTGAATTAACCCACTGTTACCAGATTTGTATCTTGCAAGCCAGGTTGCAAGGTACACAGCCTAGAAACTAGTTGGGAGAAGTGGTGTATTGATCAATTAAACCAGCACAAATCTTGGTGCAAGCCCTCCTGAAGAGTCAAGTTGAAAGCACTATAATAAACTGGCTAACATTTCACGCTGTGGTCAGTTTTAGGAATAAACAAATTTGTATGGCTTCATTTTAACACTACAGACGTATCCCCTCCCACAATCTGATCTTTGGGCAGAGGTGTTTATTTTCCTGCCTGGTTTTGGGGGAATAACCACATCACAACCAGCTGTAAAAAGAATGAATGGTCACTGCTGTAAAATTGTCACACTGAACTTCTACTATACAAACATAAAATAGCTGATTTGTTCCCTGATGAGTCTCTGAGAGTCCTGTTTACCACATCCATTGAAATGTACACACTCATAGATGTACAGGATTAAGTAGTCATCACATCTCACAGCTTTGCTCTCAGTTTTTTTCTGCAGCAGACTTATTTTAAATTGCATGTCTCATACAATTATCACAGTAAAACATTATGATACAGGGTGATTTTGCATGTGGAATAGGGGTACAAGTGAATCATTAGCTAAGGTTCACATTTACATATAGAAAAAAACACATGGCCCAAACCACTGGTTATGTATGAAGGCATATTAAATACTCACCTGAAGTGTTCAGTGTGTAAAAGTGGAATTAAATACAGATCTTGGGTTTTCATGATCTAACACAGGTGTCAGAGCACTCTTCAAAAGAGACCATTCAAAAAAGATTTTAAAGACTTAGAACATGAAGTATGTATCACTGGGGAAGACAGATGATAAGTCCTAAGCCAAGGGGCAGTTCTAGAAGTACAAATGTCTTCCTAATAAACTGAAAGACCTTGGTGCAAGAGTGAAAAGATAAGGGAAGATCAGTATTCAGTTGTTTCTCCAGAGAACAAGAATTATATGTATGTATGTTATTTACTCATTCTCATGAAGAAAGTAACTACAGCTCTTCAGGGATAAAATTCATAGTGGGAGGACAACAACCTTCTCAGAATCTCAAATGCCCAAAGTTCAGGGCTGTGTCACACCTGAAGCCAAGAATGAAGAGAGGAATTGGGCCTAAAAGTTTATCTTCCAAAAATAGAAAAAGACAAAGAAGAAAGAATTCACAGAAATGTATATATATATAAAAATAATGCATTTTAAATTAAGATGAAACTTCTTAATTAATAAAGAATGCATTAATTTAGAACAATTCAAGCTGCTAAAAAGGAGAAAGTAAATGATAAGTCATACATCATGAGAAGTTTGAATCATGTTTTGATTATAGGCCTTCAGGGAGAGAAAAAACCCTGCCGTCCTACATTCGAAGCTTATTTGTCAGGTTGGAATTTTCACCTCTCTCATTTTTCTGTACTGTATTCAAAAAGATGTCTTTGGAGTAAGTCACTTTTGGAGAGACTTTGGAGAAAGTCTTGGACGTAGCATGGCTAAATAAAAATACTGGTGATCGGCAGCTAAAAAAAGAAATAGAAATCTTATAGTAGCAGAATAGCCCTTGCTAAATATTCTTTTGTGGTTTAACACAGAACAGACTGTCCGCAAGCATTTCTGTTGTCATTAGTGGTAACAGGACCCAGGGCTCATTCATCTCATCTCCAACCAACAGCTTTTCTCATGAAATAAAACAGTATCCATGGGCTACTGCCATGTTTTCTATATTAAAAGCTCTATGAAAAGCCATAAAATGAGGTGCTAGGTTTATAGCTAAATTCAAAACCACTTGCCAGGAGGGACTTTCATTGTTATTGGGTTTGCAGTGGTTCAAGAGAAGAGTTTTAATGCAGAAAGGAAGGGAAAGAAAATGCAGTACAGCACCTCCACGTATTCTTTAGTATCTAAAGAGGAATAATGTATTTTTCAGGAGCAGTTAACATGGCAGCTGTATATTTTTCAAGTTTTGATTTTATTCTCAAAACATTTCTAGCTAGTTATTTCCCACGTTAAGCAGATAAAGCAAATAGAATTACAGGATGAATAAAGCAGAGAGAAGCTTCAGGCCTGGTGCTGTGAAAATCTGACATGGAGCTTGAAAAGTTTTCAAACCTACACACTTTACCATTTTTCCATACTCAAATGTGAGGTAACTTGAGAAACTTTAATGTAGACAATTAAAAAAGAAGCAATGATTTCTGGTTGTTCCTCGGATTACAGGGTTTTGCCTGCTAAACTTCCCAAGGGCTCTTAGACCTGCCAAGATGGTACGATGAGTCTTGTCTCTTCCTTCAGAATGAAGAAGTTGTAAGAACTGCAATAAAGAGTTGGAAAACAATGCTGAAAAGCAGCAGAGGTTGGCAACTCCTGCCTTGTATGCAACTTGAGACCACCTGTCTATCTTTCTGAAACTTGCATAACTAGGATGAGTCATTTGCAGAATTTCATGTCAGTGGCCTTCCAGGAGAGTTATCCAGTAAATAAAACATGTATCCATCCAGGAAAGCCCTGAAGTCTGTTTATAAGACAACAGAATATCTAAATGAAGTAGACAAAAAATGAAAATTAGAAGTAGAAAGTCAGTTTCTTTGCCTTAGTTATGTGCATTTTCATACACCTTTCTTTGAAGTATGTTCATGCATGTCTTCATAGAAATATATCTGACACTTCAGTATGAAGAATGGCCAGCGGAAATCCTTTCACTGGTGTCCAGGTTTGAACCCTCAGGTTTAAGAGAGTGCATAAAAAAGAAAAGAAATATCTTTATACTGCTCAGTTTTTGTCAGTTTGGATGAGGTTTTATTGGGAGCATTACAAGGGAGATCTGTCAGAAATCTGGGGGAAAAAAAACCACAAACCCTATCATAGAGTCTTCATAACTGTCTTAGGAGTGCTGTGGCTATCTGCCCAAAAAGAACTGAATAGAAAACAAGCAAATATAATCTAATATGCATCACAAGCATATGATGGTGGCAACTGGTCTCATTAGGATTTGAATGATCAATCTAATTGTGAGAGAGTCTACAGTTCATTCCTAATCTTACTGTCATCCTTATGTATATAAAGTGAGGGGATGCTCTACCTTCTTCTTCCGCAACTCCAGAAGTGCATTAGACATCAGAGGATTCTTGCAAATCCTCCAGCTCCCCAAGGATGCTACAGACATCCCCATCTTCTTCCATCAACTCTTCTTTAGCTGGCTTCCTGAGAAATGTAGTACAAGTGTATGAATTTGGATGGGCCACAACACACAGCACAACAAAATGTGCTCAACTCAAGGTCCATCCAACAGCAGATTTAATTTGACCTGCATATAAGTTCATCACTCTCCAGTGGACACCTTGGAACTCTTTTTGAATCTGTTGGCCCATTTTCTTTTTTCATTATCATTCCACAGATGTGAAATGGATGTAAAAATCAAAGTCACTAAATAAACAAAATGAAAGAAAAAAATCACAGAGGCCTCTTGGCAGGAGAGAAATAATACATCCTACTGAAGGTATTTCTACAACTAAGAGCAGAAAGGAAGCTAGGAAGATGGATGTTAGCAAAGAAATATTATTCATGTTCATTTCGTTTTAAATAGCATCAAAGACTAGTAATTTATCTGTGAATTAAGTGAACAAAGATATGCAGAACTAAAAGCTACCTCTCAGACTAGAAAAAGAACTGAAAGGATGTAATTTGCTTCTTTGTGCTTGTAGTTGTTTACACTCACCACAACCAGAAAGATATCCTGACAGAAATGCCAACAGACAACACTCTTCCTATAGCCACCAGGAAGAAAAGAATGCATATTTAGAGGTCATCTTTTCATAGAGATACCTGGGCACCTGTTCGTCACCTTTCTATAGGGACAATTTGAATTTTCTCTGATAACAAGTGCTCCTGACTCAACAGAGCCAAGACACCCAACCTCAAAGCTGAAGATCCATATTTAATTACTTACCACAGAACCTTGGGAATTGACCCAAACACTGAAATCTCTCTAATGGCAATTTTTACCCTCTTGATTTTTTGCTCTGTGGATGTGCTGAAGAGACCCAACTGGCCTAGTTTCAGCTTAACTCCCTCACTTTTTCTAAAGGCACGGCTGCACCTCTTTCTCCAAAAAACCAAAAAAAGTATCAATTTGGAGATGAGGAAAGGCACAAAGTACTGTTTTCCTTGGATGAAGACAAAAATCAAAATCTACTAGATTTAGAGATAAAGATATTCTTTCAAATTTTGTTTTTCTTAATTATTCACCTCTTGCAATCATCATGTAAGACATTCACATCTGGCGGTACATATCTCTGTCAGAACTGCTCTCTTCTACAAGCTGGCACAACTACTTGATCTTAGAAAAGATCAAGGAGAGAGCGCCAGAGTGTTATAAAACATGCTACTGCACTGCAATGAAAAATGTGAAACAGGTCATAGGGTTTTTAGCACTACAGGACATATTTGACCAGATATCCTCGTCTGTACTATATTTAGCACCATAATTCAGCGCAAATATATAGTACATTAAAAAGTGCCACAGATTTTTGTATTTAGCAAAAGGGGTTAAAATAAAAAGATAAATATTTTGTTAAGAAATCATCCACAGTGACCCAACACATACATTTCAATATTTAATGGATGCTTAGGCCCTTACTACTAAAAATAAATCCAGAACCACATTTTTCATTGTCTAATAGGAAGGAAAATTAGTTCCTTTTAATCACAAGATATATATGGTAGTGCCAGACCAGAAAATATTACCATCTTTTTTAATGAAATGGTACTTTAGACTCAACAATTTCAATTACTCTGCGATTGCAAAAGTGGCAGCAACAAGCAGTTCTTGACAAAATCAAGCAGTTTGCGTGAGAAAGTCTTCAGAACATTTTGCTAATCATTGTCCCAGCTAGCATATTCCAAGTGGTGCTATTTTATGGGCTGTCATCCCTAAAGTCGAAAAATAATGTCCATTCACAGTAGTCTCAGAAAAGTATTCTTATTTGTGCATATTATCATTTTGCTATCCTTTCATTTAATTTCTCCTGCTGTACACACACCCCCCCCCCCTTTGTTCAGTTCACCTGTTTTACTTTTTCATGTGCACCTCCTTTGAAAACAGTTCAGAAGTTAACCAGTACCATCAGCCACACACTCAAACGCTGTGGCTTTCCTTACGACGTTATCTAGCCTTGATCAAAGATTAAGGGTGTTTTTTTTCTGGACCTTGTAGGCATTTACTTTTAGCATACCTGGGTTTGGATTCTGTTGAGCCCTCTGAACCACAGAATTTGTCCACGTCGAAGTTCTCTCTCTGCATGATCAATTTCTTCAACATCTTCATTGAGTTCTTCCTCGGGGGCTTCCTCCTTCTCAGTGAGCCTCCCTGCCTCCTTTAAAAACTTTAGCCTACTTGTTGGGATGGTTGCAATGACCTAAAATTACAAAAAAGTACTGAAAACATAAGCCTCATTCAGTAACCATAGTGCAATAATCTGCTCATTGCAAAAGAACATTGACATTCTAATGAAATCTACAGTCTTCCAGGAAAGCTAAGATAAGCATATTCACGATAGTACTTTACGCTTACACAACTCCATTTTAGTCCAGAAATACTTAGTTTGCTGTGTAAACAATTAGCATTAATTGCATAGCTAAACCACATTAGCAATCCACAGCTGTGGAGTAAGTCTAAGGCTGGGAAAAATGTCCTTTCTCAAAAGACTTAAAGCAGATGTTTGAAGGTAGTTATATAATCTTGGCAAGATCAATACTTCTGCAGCTAGAGTTTGGGTATTTCTAATGACTTAAGATAATGAATGTTAATGTGAGCTGAAAATTAGTTGCACCTCATGCTTAAAAATCTTCTCACACTACACTGGTTCCTGTGTTTAGCTTCCCTTTCGTTTGGCAGGTTGAAATGCTTTTGTCAGCATGTCTCAAAAATGAGGTTTCTGAAAGGGATGGGTTTGACTGCCTCCCTGTTGGACTTCTTACAGACCTAGCTCTTCCTCTGTGTCCCTGTAACTAATAAATCCTGATTAACTCAGCCCCAATTCTCATTCCTTTTGTCCACCAAAGTGGTCCTTGGATATAATTAACATAGGAGACAGCAATAATCTTAAAGATGTGCACATTCAGTGTGACTCTCCTGGGTTATTTTCTCTTTGTTCTAATTCCTTTTGCCAGCTTACATAAAAATACATGCAGTTGGCCATTTAAACAAGACACAACCTGGAGCATATTGACCACTTAAAAAATCCCAAATTTCCTACAAAGTTAAATCCATAAAAGCTATTTAGCAAACAAACAAACAAAAAAAGTGCTGCAATTTTCTCTTTTGTTTGTCTTTGTTTCAGCATGGAGCAATCGCATCTCTGAAGTCCAAATGTGTGAAAGACAGGAGATAAAAACAGTTGCAGGAAAGCTGGTGAGGTTGTATCTTACAGTTCTGGAAAACTGGACTGGATGTAGTGAATACACATGAAGAGGCACCAAATATTTGCAGGATAAAAAGAAACTGCTGAGTTTGTGAGGGTCTTCTTGAACTTCATGAGCCACAACTCCACATATTCTTTATAAAATCAAAGAAATGTCAAAAAACCCACCAGCTTCAACACTACTACAGAATCTTCTTAAAATGCATTTTGGGGTAGAAAACCAAGATGCAGACTTGGGAAATAAATGAACTGGCTGACACCAGCAAAGACAGAACAGGGTTAAAAAGAAAAGGTAAGTGCTAGTCACTTAAATACTTACTGAAACTCCAGCTTTCCAGCTTTCAAAACACTACAAAGCCAGCACTCTACAGAAAGGAGCTACCTGGGAGGGTTTGGCATCTGATGGAAGTAATGGTGGTGAAGTACTTGCAAGACAGTACACATAGAAACAATTGTATTTGGTGGTGATTCTGTGTGATAGAACATACTTCCTCTTCACGACCTCTCTCAGCCAGGCTGACACATTCTGCTCCAATTCTTTTCTTACGGTGTTTGCATGTCTTTTTGTTTGCTCATTTGTTTTCCATATCTGCAGACACCTGCCCAGTTCAGGTAATGGCACACTCAATTGGCCGGATTTAGATTAAGAAACTGAATATACTCCCCATAAAATTCTCATAGTTTTAAAAGGTGATCAATAATTCTGGGACTGTAACATGAAATATTTTAGAAAGACTTGGCTTTCAGAAGTGATGTGGGCCACCTTTTAGAAAATGGTCCCTCAAAGCATCTCAAGAGTGGCTTCCTAGAAGTAAAACCTTAAATCATGTTTTAAAGTGCCGGTTTTAACATCTCAGCCTGAAAATCTTGATTGGTTCTAGTGGTTCAAAGGAACAGAGCACATTCAGGAGACTAATAAAACAAAGGGATAACAAGTTTGTTTCGTGCTGAGCTAGAATTAGTCATAGCAGAAGAGAAAAGGCTGAGAAGGAGGGGAGGCACCTCTACTAAAGGAAAAGTCTCTCATACTGTAGAGCTCCATGAAGAGAGGACTTGCACAGAGTGTAAATCATGTAAAGATGCAAATGCATTTGTTTAGCTTGTGTTTTTCTTCTCTGGACACTAAATACTGCTGGGCTACAAGGGAAAGAGTTTTACCCTCTGTATTTGCTTTATGTAAAAATGTAGTTTTTCAGTGCTAAAATTGTTGAGGTATTCCAACAGCAGTTTTAATTTGATGGCTAGGCTCTCGTAACAAGGCTCAGCCAACTATGCCCATCCTTAAACCGCAAAGAGATGCTGATATTATTCTTAGTTTTCAGTGGTCAAGTAATAACCATGTATAACAAAATTTAGAAGCCAAATAGTACATTGATCGAAGGCTGTGGGAAGTTTATTACAGCTGGTCTAATAAACCTGCTAGGATTTTTCTCCTTTTCCCTGCTTTTCTTCCCCCCTTTCCCAAAGTTGGGCATTTTCCCATCAGTTGAAAACAAATCTTTTCTTTCCAAGAATTAGCACACTGACTTTAGATCTTCCTCCTGCAAAGCAAATCCCATCTTCAGCAGAACAACCTAATAGTGGTGGGTTTCAGCAGCATATGCATTAAAAGCTGTCATGTCTCTGAGGCCCAATTGTCCAAAACACTGTTTTCCATTAGAGGACAACTAACTAGATTTGAAAGCTAGCATCTGATCATTACAATGCCATCAGAACCAAATGAGTATTCAATTGCAGCTGACAGTTTCTTGCTGTTTCTTCACAGTGGCAAACTAGCTGATCTCTATGTAGCTTCACAGCTGAGAAGCAACACATAATTTCTCATTTTTACTGTGTCAGGTGGCATCAGCTTAAATACATTAATAATGTATTCAGAGATGAAAAAAAATAATGTTATTAAGTTTGCTATATGTGTTTGTGCTTAAAAGCATCGCAGTATGTATTTTAACAATACTGACTGTAGATGTGTTGTAATTTCTAGTCAGATAATCACATAACTTATCTCACTGACACGTGCTTTTACATCTCTTATATAAGTTTATATGAGCTAATGATGACACAGGGTGTAGCAGAATTTTAATGTGACACATGAATTAAACTGCACTTTCCTGCAACTATTATAGGAAAAAGATCCTTTTTTTTTCATCTGCTCTTCCATCCTGCAGGGAAGTAGGTGGATGAGGATCACTGAGGGTATGTGTTAAATGCACTGGACTTAGTCCTGCACGAGTAACAAGGCTATCATGGACTGGCTGAGTGGGTGTTTCAGCAAGGAAATGAGTGGGTTGATAGAGAACTGGAACTAAACATACACGTGCTGCCTTGGGTACTCTATTGCAGCGAAGGTCACCATGCACTGGCCCTTCCTATGCTCTTTTTGTGACTAGAGGACTAGGTTAAATCAGTGTCTTTCCTGAAAAAGCCTAACTGAAGATGACCTTGGTGATAGCACGTCCTGCTTAGGGAAAGAAAAGATATGAAAATTAACAAAAATCAAAAGGAACAGTGGGATAAATTATCCTTATTGCTCTGTCTGCTCTTGAAGTACTTAGAGAGCACCTGTATTTCAATGTGTTCTACAAGTGGCATTGTGAGAGAGCAAGGAAACAGGATAGTAGGACTATGAGCAATATCACATCTTTGATGGTTTATAAAAACAAAAGACAGAATTCTGCATACCTGACCCCATACAAGTTCTCCTAGTCCAATAAATACACACCACATCCACTGGTCAAGCTGCAGGGGGGAACAGCTAAATGGTTTTCCTCCAAACTGGACAATTACTATCTACAAAGAAAAGCAGAGAAGAAAGGGGGTCAGTATTTGCTGGGGACAAAATAAAACAAACTAAAAAATTACCCCCTCCACTTTCCTCCCCCCAAAAAGCCCCAACAACTTTCAGTCATATTTTACTTGAGATTTTAATTTGTCTTGTGCATATTATAGCTCTGCTGGTTTCACTCCAACAATATTTTACCAGGAGAATAGTCAAACATATTGCAAACAACCTTTAGTTTAACGGACTCAATCTAAAAAAGCACCCAAAAGCAAAATGCTCTCTCATATTCCACATAGATTTGTTTGGCACTCATTTGGCACTAGCCGAGGTACAGTTTGGGAACCCATCCAGCAAAACCTCAGAATCTCAGTCACTACAAATCCAACCGTATAAACGTATTCACCCCAAATTAGGGGTCAGAAAAAGCCATAACAGTTCAGACTAAGGCTTCTGTAGCCTCACAGCTAACAAAGGCGATACAGGAATGCCCAAGAAGAAATAATGACTGTCCCCATGTGATCTCCCAGATTCTGAGTATTCTCAGCTGGAGATCTGTTGATTCTGGAATAGTTTATTTTGAAATGCCCCCTGCATGAGAGATTTTTCCTCTAATTAACATTTTATTGCACTGTTACAAATGTGTTACCATGGACAGACTGATAGGATACCAACTCTAGTCCTGCTGGAGAAAGAGGGAGGGACAACCCCACGCCATGCAGTAGGATAACCAGCACACAGAACCTGACCAAGTTTCTAGGCCTGGTTAGATTGTCAAGGTTTTGCTGACAAAGTCAGATATTACTGATATTTTTGTTAGTAGTGCTGTTGCATAACCAGGGAGCTGAAATCACAAGCCAGAGATTTACACTGACTGTCAAAGGCTGAAAAACACAAGTTCACAAAGTGGTAGTCAGGTCTTAGACACAAAAGAACACTAATACACAAAGTGGTTGATTCCCTTTGTGAGTGAATAAACACAAACTATGAACACAAATTCACCCATGTGAAGTGCAAATACACAGGAAGAGGGAAGGGACAGGGAATGGAAGGTAGTAGATAGGAAGGAGGAAAATGATTGGACAGAGTAAGGAAAAAGGAGGAGATAGAACAAAAACTGTGAATATGACACTCAAATTCTAAGCAAGAAATTGCAAGTCCGTATTGAGAGATTGCTAAGTGCTATATGGCAGGTACGGCATGTTTTAATCCATCTGCCCTCACTGTGACAAAACTTTGCTGGTTCTGAAAGCAGAGAAAGGATTTAAAGAAATCTATTGCTTGTCTGTGGACAGGAGTGGTAACTACCCTGTTATTTCTCAAGCTGTTGTAGCTCTCTCAGGAGCACTTTCTGATCCTTACTGAGGAGGCATTCTAATAGTCTCCCTATTTGTTACCTTGAAAATTTGGCCACTGCTTCTACTTTTTCTTTGTGGAGGGATTTAGGAGGAGGACTAAACTAAACTATTAGTTAATGGAACTACTGCACTCAAAGATGAAATAGCAAAGCCATTAGTCTGTACTTCACAGAAGGCGTAGTAAATATATATGGAACTAAGACAGTTTGCAGTATAAAATAAAGCCACTTCTGTAATCTCCCACATCCATCTACATAATCTAACCTCAATCATTTTGGTTTAGAGTAAGATGCTTGGCTCACTCATCCAGCTATTAAAACACACAGCCAAAATTCCAAATACTTTCCTGAGATTGCTTCAGCAAGCAACATTATGCAAGCTGTATTTCCACAACATAATACACAAAGTGGAAAACAGAAAGATTAACCTTCTGCTGTCTCAAGAAACATGACCTGGTTTTAAAAAGAGACTTAAAAGCAAGTAGGAGTTACAGCCTTTCTTATGTTACAATGGCTTTTTCGATTCACTGTTGGAGTGCAAACCTAGTGTTTTGAAGTTTGCACTTAAAGTATTTCAGCTACTAGGGAAGCAGGAGAGAGTGAGCAAAATCAGCAGCCAGTTCAGAAATGTGGCTAGTAGCTACATGACACTGTTCCTGCAGCCAGACAACTGAAGAGTAATGCCTAGAACTAAGAAAACATCCTCAAACACTACCCATGATTAAAAATAAATAAATAAAGAAAGAATTAGAGATGAGTGTGTTTGTCAGGCCTCTCCTAAAGGCATTTTAGTTCCTGTTAGTAAACCCATGTTTTCAAACGAGCTGTTAAAGAGCATCACTGTCAAGTTCTGCTACCAATCATTGGTGTCCTTTTTCCCATACTTAGTTTGAGTGGTTTTCCCTTTGCTGTTTCAAACCACTATAGCCCAGTTTCTAATAGCTCCACCCTCATTACTACTTCCATGAGAAATATCCCAATACTGACAGCTTCCAGCATGCCAATGCAGAACTGAGCAATAATGTCGAGACAGAAATAGCTCAAATCTAAGCAACTATGAGGGCTGCAGCAGGCTCCTAAGAGGTAATGTCAAGTGGTATTAAGTACAGGATAGAAGTCAGCAAATGGATGGATACAGGAGTGGAAGGAGGAAGCTGAGTTCTTACAGAAGAAAAATCACAACTATTTGGGAAAAGTGTATTTCTGTCATGATGCTCACACATGACTGAAACAGCAAACTCTTGAGATGGACATGAAGAATTACCACCAAGGCACAGTATTACTGAGAACATTGAGTAACATTAGGCAGTGGCATTTACCCTCAGAAGGCAGTGGCATTTACCCTCAGAAGAACAGATCAGCATTAGCTATTTGAAAGCTAATTTATCTATTCAGAGAGTAGTAAATTAAAGTAAAATGCTTTTTTTTTTGCTATTGATTGGTATACTATTTAATAATTTCTTCTACAAAAAAAAAAAACAGTTCCAAGACCAAAAAATCATAATGGATGTTATTATTGCACATATTCAGATTAATTTAGGGACTGACCTACTTAAAACAATAAAAAATTATGCTTTACTAGTACGACTACATAACATACTCCATTACTAGCACTTGCACTGATTCAAAAAATACGTGAAACTAGGTGCTTTACTATTAAGTGTACCCCCTACAACATTTAGGTTTAGAAAGAAAGAAAATGTACAGAAGTTACACTTCTGGTGAACACTTACTAATTCTTGCCCAAATCATTACCTGAATAGCAAATGTACCCAATACAATAGTGCAAAAAATAGGATTTCTGAAGATGCCATCAAAGACGTTCCTTTCACCATGGATTTTCCGTGCGTTGATTTCATTGAAAAGCTGCATCATGACGAAGGTATTGAAGATAATGGTGTAGTGCTCTGAAGGAGGAGAGTGAAGGGGTGCATTCCTCCCACTGTCAATCTTGAACATTTTCTCACCTAGGCATAAGACAAAAATAAAGGTTTCCACTAGAATAAGTTAATCAAACTTAAAAGTGCATTTCCCTTGTTTGCTTTAGCTAGTTGACTCCTGTGCTCTGCTTAACCAGCTTGCTTTCTGCACTTAATACATATATGCAGAATTTATAACACCAGTAAGCAAAAGTTACCTAAACTTCTTGAGCAATGAGCTTCTCAAATGACAGAATCATAGAATACAATCATAGAATAGTTGGGGTTGGAAAGGACCTTTAGATCATCTAGTTCCAGCCCCCCCGCCATGGGCAGGGACACCTTACGCTAAATCAGATCACCCAAGGCCTCGTCCAACCTGGTCTTGAACGCTGCCAGGGATGGAGCATTCACAACCTCCCTGTGCAACCCATTCCAGTGCCTCACCACCCTAACAGGAAAGAATTTCCTTCTTATATCCAACCTAAACTTCCCCTGTTTAAGTTTTAACCCGTTAACCTTTGTCTTATCACTACAGTCTCTAATGAAGTCTCTCCCGCATCCCTATAGGCCCCCTGATGACTTTTACCTATTAACGCAGTATAGCTATGCAAAGTTTTCAGTAGTGCTTTTCCTCTAACCAAGTAGTAATTATTCTAAGCTGATTCTTTCTGATTTTCCAAGCACCTGAGACCATGTCTGTGATTTTCTACAGTAAGTAGAAGCAACCACTCTTCAGCAGGTTTTACCCATTTGCTAATTCAGTATGGCATAAACTCTTGACAAGCATTCAAGCATTTTAATGATAAAACACACAAACATTCCTGGTTTTAAATGGATTTAGGTTTGATCACACTGCTTGTCTGCTTTGCAAGCACACCATGAGGCATTGCTCCTTATTTGGATGATTTTACTCGCTTTTAGATCTAGTCAATAAAAAAGCAAGATACAACCTATGATGAGTAACTGTAAAAATGAGGTAAGTTTTGAAAAGATACTTGTACCTGAGGGACCTCTTTCTTTGTGGAATGGTTTAGTTTGGAAGGAACCTTTAAAGATCACCTATAGTTCAATCCCCCTGCCATGGGCAAGGACATCTTTCAGCAGAATATGTTGATCAAAGCCCAATCATAGAATCATAGAATAGTTAGGGTTGGAAAGGACCTTAAGATCATCCAGTTCCAACCCCCCTGCCATGGGCAGGGACACCTCACACTAAACCATTCCACCCAAGGCTTCATCCAACCTCGCCTTGAACACCACCAGGGATGGAGCATTCACAACTTCCATGGGGAACCCATTCCAGTGCCTCACCACCCTTACAGTAAAGAATTTCCTCCTTATATCCAATCTAAACTTCCCCTGTTTAAGTTTGAACCCATTACCCCTTGTCCTGTCACTACAGTCCCCAATGAAGAGTCCCTCCCCAGCATCCCTATAGGCCCCCTTCAGATACTGGAAGGCTGCTATGAGGTCTCCACGCAGCCTTCTCTTCTCCAGGCTGAACAGCCCCAACTTTCTCAGCCTGTCTTCATGCAGGAGGTGCTCCAGTCCCTGATCATCCTCGTGGCCTCCTCTGGACTTGTGCCAACAGTTCCATGTCCTTTTGATGTTGAGGACACCAGAACTGCACACAATGCTCCAGGTGAGGTCTCACGAGAGCAGAGCAGAGGGGCAGGATCACCTCCTTCGACCTGCTGGTCACGCTCCTTTTGATGCAGCCCAGGATACGGTTGCTTTCTGGGCTGTGAGCGCACACTGAAGCCGGCTCATGTTCATTTTCTCATCGACCAGCACCCCCAAGTCCTTCTCCTTGGGCTGCTCTGAATCTCTTCTCTGCCCAACCTGTAGCTGTGCCTGGGATTGCTCCGACCCAGGTGTAGGCCCTTTCACTTGGCATGGTTAAACTTCATGAGGTTGGCATCAGCCCACCTCACAAGCGTGTCGAGGTCCCTCTGGATGGCATTCCTTCCCTCCAGGGTATCAACCGAACCACACAGCTTGGTGTCATCGGCAAACTTGCTTTGGCAAAATCCAGTGTGACTTCGAACACTTCCAATGATAGAGCATCCACCTTCTCTGGGCAATCTGTTCCTGTGTCTCACCACTACATTGTAAAAAAAATTCTTATGTGCAACCAAACCTACACTCTTTCGGTTTAAAAACACTGCCCCTTGTCCTTTCACTATAGGACCTGCTGAAAGGTATCTCTCTGTCTTTCGTAGAAGCCCCCTTTATATATCAAAAGGCTGCAACAAGGTCTCCCCTTAAGGAGCCTTCTTGTCTCCAGGCTGACCCAGCCCAGCTCTCTCAGCCTGGCTCCAGAGCAGAGCTGCTGCAGCCCTTGGAGTGTCTCCGTGGCCTCCTCTGGACTTGCTCCAATAACTCCATGTCCCTCTTTTGCTGATGCCCCAGAGCTGGACCAGGATTGCAGGGAGGGTGTCTCACCAGAGCGCAGCAGAGAAGGAGACTCCCCTCCCTGACCTGCTGCTCACGCTCTGGGGGTGCATCCCAGCACACGGAGGGGTTCTGGGATCAAGCACACTCTGATGGCTCATAACCAATTTTTCATCTACTTTCTTACGCACAAAGTTTACAGGTAACAGTTACTGAAAGAGGCATTGTGTCCTGGGCTCAGCAGTAGCAGTCATTTTTCTCCTTCTTAGTAGCTCGTGCTGTGTTTTTGACCGGCTGGGCTTAAACCATGGTACATTGTTAAAGTAAGGATGGTCATTCACATGGAAGCATAACTAATGAATGAAGTACCACAATATTACCCCATTTCATAACCAGTGTTTTGTTAATGACAGCAAATTAAAACTTCTCTATCCTACTAGCATAATATTAAGAATTTCTGAAGAAAGAAGAAAAGTTTCCACAGATTTTCGCCAGAGAAATTAATCATTAATTCCATCAGCTATCAGTGAGCGCTTTCTTGCCTTGCGATATTTGAGCAGTTCATGTTCAAGTCACTTGGAATAATGAGCATGTTTCCAAAGAATTTGGCTTTTAGACTTTTGACAGAAATTAGATTAGGATATCACAAATACAGCAGTAACACAATATGAGGCCACAACACTTAGAGTGCAAGAGAGCAGATAGTTTAAAGAAGAGGTTTATGCCATACTGGATTAGCAGTTGCTAATCTGGATTCCTAGGAAATCCAGACCTCCACAGAGGTAACTAAGTATTGGAAAACATTCTACTTACTACATAAAAACAGTAAAGGAAATTAATGGAAAAACAGATATAATAATTTTATCCATTACAGGTACATACACACATACAAGCACACACATTACATCTATTTGCTTTCATTCAGTACACACATGAACACAAATACATGAATAATTCTTCCCTCAGTCAAAGTATCTGTCCTTAAATCTCTATTATTGCATTGCATCCCTTAAAAAGCCTAAAAGCAGAACATGCTGCTGTTGTGGAGTGCCACTGGTTAGACCCATAACTACTTTTATTTCCAAACGTTCCAAAAGGCACTATAGTACATCAATGTTATTATGCCTCGTTGCTGAGGTTATGATTTATTTTTAATACTACAGTTTGACAGAACTAGACAATGACTTCTGGATTTCCAATGTACCTGATGTCTTAAATGCACTATTGTATGTTCAAACACAATAGATTTATTGCCACATCATAGAAAAAAAAAAACAACCAAAAATGCGATGTACTAGTCTCTAGAGAAACCAAGTACAAAAAAAAAATAAACTATTAGTTGGTCAAAATAAAACTAATTCTCATTACTTTGGGATGTAATTATCAAAACACTGCATTTAGAACATCATCTCACTGCAGAGCTAAGACTCGTGGAGTTTGGAAAAAACTATTTCATAGGCTTATCAGAAAATTGGTTGTGCTGCGTCCTTCAAAGTATGCATGGATTTTCCACAGACACACAGAAATAATCAGAATAGGGTGAAGAGAGGTCAGGAGAAAGTATTTTAAACCATAAAACTTATCAAAAAGCCATTAAAACTCCCCATAAAGCCCACAGAAGTTCTTGTTCCAAGATTCATATCACATGAATTACCAAGAAGAAGGCTCAAAAAACTCCTAAGAATCATAAATTTACAGTTACAGCTTATATGGAAGTCAGTACATAAAGGAAAAAATCTGAAAGAGAACACACGTAATTTAAGGATGATGACACAGTGACAAGAACACAATACCCAACTGATAACATTATCAGTCCTTTGAGCAAAGTTCACTTACTACTGTGAAGGAACAGAATCTATTATTAGACCCTGCTAGTCCCGGCACCAAGAAACATTCCTCCTCCTTCCCTCCCCTCTCCAAAATACAGCTTATGAAAAGCATCTGTTGCTAGCAAAGCCTGAGGAGGAGTCCAGCAATCTCATAAATTAGATTTTGTTTTCCCCTTTTAATATCCATCCTAGATATAAAATGTCTACACAGAGTGCTATTTGTATCACTTAATACTAATTACTTGCTTACCAATACTACGTAAGATCAGCATTATTCCTGGACTATGGCAAACATTTTGCTCCTGATTAGAGCTTCTCCATCTATTGGTAAAATGGATCTTGATTTTTGCTATGTTTATACTGTTGCTGTTAATTTTTTGCTACATGCCTATTAAAGATGACAAATCTCAAAAGGAAACTTCAGAATAGAAGAACCAGGCTAGATACTCTGCTTAAAATGCAAACCTATGCTACACTTTAACATGAACTTTTGGCAAAGCCTGGATTTTGTTAGGAGGCAGAAAAGCTCACTGAGGCCTTTCCCAGGGGAAACAACAACTGAAAGGTGACTCAGTCGCTCTATTGCATGTTTTCTATTACCCCTACTATTTCTGATCCCATTAAACACTTCTCTTCTGCTAGCTCTTTCACTAAGACAGACTTAATAGATATGCATTAAGTGGTTACATTTACAGCTTTCTGACATGTTCTAAACCAAGCAACAAGCATAACAAACTTCCTTACCGACAAAAAGAAGTGTAAATATGAGAGTGAGCTGATACACAGCGTGGCCCAGGATGTTCTTCATCATGGTACGGGATATAAGAGGCTTGTTCCTGCCATATGGCTTTCTCAGCAACAGAGCCTCAGTGGGAGGTTCAGTGGCCAAAGCAAGGGAGGCAAAGGTGTCCATAATGAGATTGACCCACAGCATCTGCACGGCTTTCAGAGGAGAGTCCTGTGGAGACAAATTAGACAGTTTCACGTTTCCTAGAAAAATAATGGTTGTCAGGTCTTTTACTGGGATTTCATTTCTTCCTGTGTGATGCCAGCAGTGCTGAAGATGGGACACTGAAATCCACAGCCCTTTAGTCTGTCCTACTATGTCCTTTCTTGTCTTCTTACGCAAGACCAGTATGACAGGACGCATAGTGATCTGAGCAAAGATAAATTATTTCTCTCCAGTCCCTTAAATCAGGAATATTTACAATCACACAATGCTTATGAAGCATAACAGGACTCTTTATGACAGATTTTACAATATCCTCTGTTACTTCATGCATCATGCCGAACTTTCCAGCTGAATTTAGGTAACTAGATAACACAAGTGGGAGTTCCTTTCCTGGAAGAAAAATTATACTGGAACAGTTTAAAAAGTAATGTTTCCGTTTACTATAAATGACCTATCTGTTTTGTCAGAAACAGCTTGAAATTATTAACAATTTATGAAACAATTCCTGAGACATGTGAACACATCTTACATGGATAAGAACTTTTAAAAACAGTAGTGAATAAAAAAATGCCTGATATCTGGATTACCCCCCACCCCACCCCCAACACCCCAAAACTCATTAAAATATATCAAATATGAAAAAATAATGAATTCCTTATTATGTCACTGGGTAACAGGCTAGTATATTTGAAACTCCGGAACTGGAAAGAAAAAACTCAAACATTACTACTGGTCAGGATGTATTAATTTTCTGAAACAAATCTCCAACCACTAGAAGGAGCTCTTTCCTCACTCAAATCAAGAGTCTATGGTCATATTACAGAGGACTTGAGATCTCCTTTTAAAACATCCCAAAAGGAAATAAATAAAACAAACTAACAGAGATCTCCAGAGAACTCGAGATGATTATTAGAGAGTTTGGATTTGAAATTCACTAGGGCAGCTGTAATGATAGATGCAACCTCTTCAAGGAGTCATATCAGGAAGAATGAAAGAGGTTCTTCTGTATCTAACAACCTCCGTCCTATGCTTCTAGACTGAAGCCAGCATGGGCAGCATTAGTAAGGTCTGCTTTCTGTTTCAGATAGATGTTTTTTATTAGAAAAATAGAATCTCAAAGGTAACAAGGTATCAGCATGACAGATCTTATGATGGAAGGGAGTTAATCTGCAGTGTGGAAGTTGGAAGATCTGAGCACCTATTTTTATGCATTACATTACCATGCTGCTGTAATAATGAAGCAAAGAAATCTATGGACCAGTATACGAGCCAAATCAAAGCCAATAAATTCACCTCATGAACTCTGTCCTTTTTTTCAAAGAGTTAAAAGTTCATTTTTAATGAAATATTGTCAAATAATGAGGGCTAATTCGGTATCTCAAGAACATACGGAGAACCATGGCAAGTGGTTTGGTCTCTTGTGGATCTGGTTTATATTCCAACTCTCCCTTGTGAGAAACTTACTTCCTCTTGAAAACATATATTTAACATCCCTACAGTTAGATATATTTTGATACATCTTATTCATAAAAAAAAACCCCAACAAACTAATTTTTGGCTTATTTGAAGGGATGGAGAAAAGCAGCCTCCTGTTTCTAAGTTCTACAGGTTGGCTACATTAGGGAAGATTAGCATAAATAGATTTTTGACCTCTTGGTTATGTGTTGCATTAACTGGGCTTATGTGGAGAGTTCAGTCACTCATTTGGTATGCAGCTGCAGAAACAGGAAACATCTTTGTCGTTAGAGGTGGCTAAAAACCTGAAAGCAATCAGGACAAACTTGGTTCCAAATTGAGGCCTCATTTGTTTTTTATTAATACTAATGCCTCAAACAAGAAGAGTACTTGCACTAAAAGCAGTTTGTTGCTAGGGCACAGTATATAGAGAAAAAAGAAAACATGGTTTCTACTGAACAATCTTCCTTGTCATACTTCTACCTGTCGGGTTAATAACTTTTCTAGAGAAACATTCTCTACTTTGAAATGTTACAACAGCTGAATTTCCACTCCCTGTGCTGACTTCTATGTCAGTAAAACTGAGTTTGTCTGTTACGCTTAACAAATACAGTTAAATATTCAGGTGTCTATCAGAGCCTGGTATTCCTAGCATAACGAAGAGGCAGATTATTTCAGTCTCTAAATCACGCAACTGTAGTTGGCAGTCATCAGTTTTGGCAACAACTTGTTCTCACCATTTCACACTGCCAATCACCTTGTGTGGCTATGGTGCCCCTAATAATTATCTATTATTGGCAGTGCTACACTGCTCAGTCAAGTGTGAAAGCTCATTCTAAGCTGAAGCCAAAACATTAAATACACATTAGTCTGGGCAGGCAGTGGAATGAAATTTCCACTGCAACTCTATCTGATTTCTGATTAGTTGGTGGAAGCTGAGGAAAATACCTATCAGCTAAGGAGCTTAGTCTTCCATTACAGATTTTAGTCACTTATGCAAGTGGGATGCAGATTCAGTGTTCTTCTCATTTTGGTCACTAACTGACTAGCACTAGTTAGCTTCTAACTCACTTTCTGAAAACTTTGGGGATGAAAGCTGCTCAAATTGCACCCAAAATCACCAGTTATTTGTCAAATTCCTTTCCACTTGACCTTGGAATAGGTTAGCTTTGGCCTAGAGGTAAAAGGAAAATGTCCCTTAAATCAAGTGATGTTACACTTCATCTTCAAAACACTTAAAAGTACAAACTGCCAAAGGCTGGAAATAAACTACAAATCTTTTGTGACATGCAGAGCCTCACAAATTTTAGAGCTTGTTACTTTTGATTTTGATGACAAGCTATAGGAGAGGAAAAAGGTATTTTCACCTTTACCTCTTCACTCCCACTTGTCAAGAGAACACATGCATGGGTTTATAAAAATGAGCATTTCTGGTGGGTTAATCTTATATCCACTAATGCAAAGAAATGTCAGCCCTCACTTCTGCTGCTAGATCATCCACTAACTGTATGGAATTGGCATCCTCAATTCTATCTCCATGGCTCTAAGCCCTCCCAAAACAAAGCTAAACAGTGTATACTTTGATTTTATATTATAGCTTTTTCAAATTTGCCAATGCTATGATTTTAGGATTTGCCAAATACAGTTCTGCATTCAAACATTATAACCAAGTAAATTACTGCCTTATACATGTAAGTGTAGATCATCCTCATTTCTTGAACAAGATCTGTAAAAACAAGTGATTCATGCAGTAGTTCACTGCTACAGTGCTTTTTAATTTACATTTAATTTTCCAAACATAATGTACTATAGAGTCACTGTTTTCAATTCCTAATGTCTGCTAAAGCATTAAGTCTTTCTCAGATTACAAGAATAATAATTTGAATGCAAAGTCTTTTTCCTCTCTGTCTTTGATGCAACCTTTCTGAATAGTTACATTGCCTCAGCGGTTGGATATAGACAAAATTTGGCACAGAGGTAACCTGCTAGCTTTAGACTTCCAGTGAAAAGCTGTTTCCATTTGACTGACCTGCATTTTAAAATCTTTATTTTGTACATACCCAGATTACTTTTACAGCTCCAAACATAATGACCTAATATTCTCTTGGTACTGTGTAGGGGACAGGAAACAGGATGAATCTTCTGGCTTTGTAAGGCGCATATAAACCTCTATATGGTACCTAGAGATGTGGAGCAATGACTCATTTGAAGTGCAAAATTCACAGTGAATGTAGGCAGAGCTGCAAAGAACCCTCATTGACTCAGGCAAGGGCTGTGCAAAATGGTTATTCCAAGGATGAAGTCAGAATATAAGAGTTTATTTCTCATAAATCCACTGGAAAAAAGAAATCACTGGCTTAACCTGAGGTAATAGTTGCTAAACAGAATGGACAATTACATGAAAACTGGTCAAGATAACCATACCCTGATCAGTTTAAAAGCATGCACTGAGCAACCCAGAGAGAAGAAAGCAAGAGGTAAAGGAATTAGGTTATTTGAAAGACAAGGTGAATTAATACATCTTGGCTGCATCGTGCCACAAACTGCACTGGCATGGGACTAGTAGCAACAGTAGCTGTGATCTCATTGGTGGGTGTTACCTACACGCTGGAAACAAAATTAAGAGCACCTATGCAGCCGCAGAGGGAGTGATCACTAGTCAGCTTTTAGTCAGAGCAGGTAAGCATAGAACCTTCATGCTCCAGTGTCCCAGTATGCTGGCTCCAAATTGCAGAACATACTTTTTGAGAGGTGACATAAGAAGCGTGGAAGAAATGTTACAACCTCCACAGAATTTGTCTCATTCTAGATTTGATTAAATATCACCAAAAACGTAACCTGGGGAATATTAATTAACCTGAATATTAATTGTGAACTAAAATTATATTCTGCTTGTCAAAGAAAGCCAAACTGACTACCTAAAAGCAAAGTAAAATCCAGTCTGATGTGGACCTTAAAATATTCGTTTTGAAGGTCACAGAAAGCTATGCTGCCTATAGATTTTAGCTTCACTTGTTTGTTAATAACTTAAACGTTTCAGTCAAGCTGGTAATTTAAGACCTGTGTACAGTTTTGCAGACTTAGATCTGTGTCTGTGCACCTAGCCTGTTTGCAAGGGTTTTTTTGCTATATTCATGCATTTCAAGATAGAGCTATTTTCAGAGCAACCACAGGGTACAGTGATGTACATGTTCTCACAGGTAATTTTTAGTAAAGCCTATGAGCCAAACAAACATAATGCCCTTTCACTGGCTAGAGCCTTTGGGTCAAAGCCTACATAATGATGTCCATTGTAAGCAGAGAAAGAACCGAGAGCTGCTCGAGATGATCAGCGGTGAGGTCTTTGAGCATAAACTGAACTACAATGGAAGTAACTGCTGCCCTTTTGCTATAATTAAAATTTTAGCTTCTTTGGACCTCTCTGTTGGATTTGCATTTTTACTGCCAAATTAAGGAACTGCATGAGAATCTATCTGGACAGAAATACAGGAATTCTAGGAGGTGTACATTAAAAACCTTTAAACAGGGACTACAGACTTGACAGGCTCAACGATGGTCTTATAGACCATTAGGGCAATATAAAGACACTGGTCCGTATCCAAGCCCTACTAGAAGCCAGTGAAATTATTCAAAGGATAAAGAAAGCTCTGGAATGAAAAGTTTGCACTGTTTATGCACTTAGACTAGATAGAAAATAGACTTTACACTGTAATGTTTAACCTCTTACAGAATAAACCAGATTATCCCTCAATTAACAAATGGAATATATTACCCTTCGTGTTTTCATCAAGCAAATGAAAAAGTACTGGACATCAACAACAACAAAAAAATCACCTTAAATAAGTGTTAGTAGGCAGTAACTGAATGTCTATAAAACAGGGTCTTAAAAGGAATCACTCACAGCGGGCCCAGTCACAGCATTCTCACCATGCTGCCGTTAGCACTCTTTTCTATGTTGTTTTGTCCCAGTGATGAAAATCCAGGAGTATTGACTTTCCAGAGTTTCAGTCCTTATTCCAGTACCGTCTGTTACCAACAGTAACCACTTTACAGCTAAGCATTTTCTCAATATGCTTCGAAACAGTTCCAAGGGAAAAGTTATCCAACTTCTGCTGCCAGGTGAGGAATTCTGTGGCACAGAGCAGCTCAGCTGTGACACCCAGGCATCAGCAGGGCCTGAGGGCAGCTGGGGGAGCTAGCACTTGGCAGCTTACAGTTTTGACTTTTTGGAAAGCAAGTGAATTCAGGTGTCAGTGCGCTCCCTGAACAGGATAAAATAGTTATTGCATTTGTTAAGATTGCTTCCACTTCCTTCAAAAGCAGCCTTTTTGCATGTCTAGAACTCCCAGCACTATCCTTATGCTCACGCAGCAGGGGAGCTGATGGGTGACAGTCCCATCCACCCGGCCACTGCGTGGCGCTAGCAGAAGCTGAAGCTTGCTCACATGCCTGTATGTGTCAGTCAAGGCTTAGGAGAAGTTTGACCTCATGGTTTTGTAAAGGTACCTGGGTTTCAGGTTTCAAGTATCAATTCCATGATTACAATGTAAGTTTACCCTGGAACAGAGCTAATGACTTATTCATTGTTTTGCTCAGGTGTGCATGAGGTGAAATATACCCACGAAAACAGGCCTGTGCATCTGCATGATGCACAAGAGAGGGAAGAGGCAGCTTCCCCATTGTGTGTCTCCACCAGAGGAGGCAGTTTGTAACAGCACCTGTCTGCAGCATCACAATGACACTTTAATTTAGGGAGGGACAGCACTAAAGCCTGCATGTTGTGTTTTATCCTCCATTAGAAAAACCTTCTGTACTAAATACATCTTTTCTTTCTAGGGAAAATAAAACTGCATTTTATTAGTCAAAAAGTAGTAATTTGAAGGGGGGAAAAACTGGCGTTTACTTTCACGCATGCTTTTTGCAAATGTAAGACACATTGCAAGTACACCAAGATTGCACTGGGGGATTAACGTAAAGGGAGAAAAAGAAATCACAGTCCAGCTGCATGTGGCATTTAACTGGTTTGTCATTTGCACCTGAAATTAAAAGGGATTGCCTGAAAGCAAAAATGTTTTTATCAGTCAAAAAGCCTCTCCTGCTGGGATTACCTCTGTGTGTCAGAACTGCTCTCCTGAAAATAATAATAATCCCATTCCATAATCCATCAAAAATATACATTTCATAGTGAAATATTCTGAGAGGAAAAGGCCAAGTCCCATAACTTTGTCCTTCCAACCCCTGACGTTTTCTGTCCATCATCACAAGGTTCAGTCATGACGATAATATGTAAGCAAACCCAGGGAGCTATATGGAAGCAGCACAAAAATTAGCTGCTCTTAAAAGTAATCTGCTTCCAAGAGAAGACAAATTAGTTCACTTCCTTACGTGAACTGCTATTTAACACTTAGCAGCTTGATCCTAAATACACTGTTAATGCTCGGAAGAATTTCAGACGGTGTACTTTCTGCTTTGCAAAGTGAGAATCAAATGTAAGCCACTGTTACTTAAGAACAAAAAGTTACCTCAATAGGATTTGACCCCATACTTTTAGCAACAGCTCACCTGGGTAATGCATGCTCCAGTGAAAGCCACAATGACAGCCACAATGTTAACAGTGAGCTGGAACTGCAGGAACTTGGAGATACTGTCATAGACATTGCGTCCCCACATTACAGCCTTCACAATGCTACTGAAGTTGTCATCTGTCAGGATGATGTCTGAGGCTTCCTTTGCCACATCTGTTCCAGCAATACCCTGCAAAAATTAATTGTGACTAAAATTACCTCCTAGAAAGCACAGAGACAGAATACAGATCTTCATACTCATTCGAAGTCCACAGTTATGCAGAGACTTCCCAGCATAGTAACAGGAAATGCTGAATATATTCTGCATTTTCTGTTCACTAGGAAGTTTGCTAATGTGGCCTATTTTTGAAAGTAAGGACACAGAAGAGGGGATTGATAGCAATGGAGTTCATGTGATGATCGTTTTGAGTGGTTTAAATTACCAGCTTGATGACTACTGATCTTCCGAGTTATTTTTATCATTGATTATATCTTATTAATATACATGAACAGAAATGCTAACAAAAATTAGTTATGTATATAAATATATAGTCTAGAATATTAATATCTTCTGAATCAGAGTACACTGGGAAGACATCTTTACACTTAGTGATGGATTTTATCAAAGCGAAATAGTGCTCCACTGTTGTGGAGAAAATAGTTTAATCTTTCTGTGTTGGCACAGGATTCTGCACATGGCCAGTAATTACCTCAGACAAAATACTGGAAAAGTAACAAAACACAGTGAATGAAAGGGTTCAGAAACAACATAATTCACCCCCTCCAATAACTAAATAATAACCAAGCAACTTTCTCAGCACGTAATGAATGAAAAAGCTCTTACAGCAAATCTACAATGACACAAATATCAATAAATATGCTCAAGATTATACCATTGCAAAGCCAACATCAGCTTTTTTAAGTGCTGGTCCATCGTTGGTTCCATCACCAGTCACAGCTACAACCTGCCTCTGCTCCACCTGGGTGCTGTCAATAATACCTGCAAAACATGTGTGTGTGTATACATACACATACATATAAATGATTAGTAAGATAAAACTCCCCTCTAAAAAATAGCAGGGCCTCTGTACCATAGATTACATAGTACCACACAAGTCTTACACAGATCAGAAGAGTTATTTTTTTAAGGAAAAGAACCATGAAAGCTATGTCATCACTACTACACACTACCAGACATCACCACTAGAATTTACATGAGAAGTTCTGATCCCGCATCATCAAAACATCAACAAAACTTGCACAGAATTCAAAGGGAATGAAATCAGATCATTTTGTTCTTTTAGAAGATTTCTACTATTTGAAATCATGTGTCACAGTAAACACATTTCAGCCCAGCTCTCTGATTAAACATCAGTGGAAAGGATTTGCCAAAGACTTAAGTTTGTACTTAAAGCTCTCCTCAGCTGGGACTGAACTGCAGTATCTGCTTTACTGGGACACCTTCTGGCAATCAGTTTGACCTAAGCTAACATGCCATTAATGAATTATATTTAGCTGGAGCCAGTTTAGCATTTTAACAGCCATGTTCGATTCTGCCAAATACTGATTAAGAAGATGTAAAATAATTCTTTAAAATCTGGAGCCAAATGTTTTAACAAACAGACATAATAAAATAATTCTGACATTAATTTTGTGATCATTTGAGAAAAGAAAGCACTTTTCACTTCATGAATCAAGTTTCATAGAGCTAGCCTGAAGGGAGTGTTTTCCACTTATGCAGATGGAGAAAGTAAGGAAAAGAATAAAGAGTTTTTCTAAGGCAACAGAAGCAGCCCTGGTTTTTGATAGGATGGGGATCTTTCACCACTCATATTTGTATTTCCATGTCAGAGTCCATTCAAAGCTGAGTCTAGAATACAGGATTGTTGTGTAGGATACAGGAACACCTCTCCAAATTAATTAGGTGGGGAAATGACAAAATGCCTTTTGCTAACCCATTTTGCACAAAGTCATAACCTCTAGAAGCAATTATCAAAACCTTCCCAGTGTGAAAAGCTTTCATTCTACTCTGGAATAAAATAACTCACATATCAGATACCTAAGCAGAAATAGGAAATTGCAGATTACAAAGCAATAGCTGCCTCTTGGCAAGGTTCAGGTTTATCGGGCACTCAGAAGATTGCAATGCAGCATGGAAGCAGGCAGTGCCCTGTGTTTTTCAGTCTTACAAAAAGCAGAAAAACCCCTGTTTGCCTTCCACTGGCAGAATGAACTAAGATAAATGGCACATTATTCTGATAACATCTTAGAATTAGAGCTTTCAATTTGCTGGGGTGATTTGCCTTTGGTATTACTAAATAAACAGGAACATCAGATGCCATTACTGTTAAAAGCATTATTTTGGTCTTCCTTTCCTGTTATTAACACATCTTTTGATGTTAAATTAATAATTCAAGCTTTCTTTTTTAAAAGAATAGTTAAAATCTCTGACATGCTATAGTATTAACTTCTCCAAACAGGTAGATGACGTCCTCTCACAACTGGACTCCAAATGGGAACACAACCCAAATCAAGCTGAAGAGGCTGTAACAAATGCCCTCCTATGAATAGCACTCTAAGGTCAATGACAGTACTACCAGCTGTCCTCAGCTAATTGCAAAGTCGTTTACAGGGTTCAGTAGTTGTTCACAAGGTTTAGCAGTCATTTTTATGTGTAAAATCAAACTATGCAGCTGAGATAAGACCAGCACAGCAGGGGAATTCCTGAAACTTGGCAAAGCTTCCACCCTAAAAAACTTTTGCCGTTTCATTGGTCTGTTCCCTCATCTTATGCTGTTGGGCCACGACTTTTTATCTGTCAAAAAGACTTTTATTCGATGGCCACAGGAATACACCTAGAACATAACATTACAGTGTGTTCCACACACAGACTCTGCTGATGTGGCAGGAATCTGGGAGGAGTCGTGTGGCTTGCATCAGGCATAGGGTTTACAGAGCAAGCAGCTTGTTTCTGAGGAGGGAAAAGCTGCTATTTAAAACAACTCTGTATAGCTATCAAGAGGGGCACTGTATGCACGAGCTTGCGAGAACAGGTACCGGCACTGAATACACAGGTGAATGTGAAATACATCCAGTACCTCCCACCTTCCTCCCATCTAACACTAATCAAAAAATTTCAAGGCTAATGTCAGTGTTACATGTAATATTACAGACAGCACTGGTGACTGTGAACAGTGCTCCACAGCTTCATGGTATTAGAATACAGGAAAATGGCTAAACCACACGTTTCTGCACCAAGCATGCACCACAATGTGCTTTAGGTTACAGAGGAACCATGAAGGCATCAAGGCCTCCCACCAACTACAGAGACCTAAATGATATTTAGAGAGTAGAAAACTCGAGATTCAAGTGCAGTATACTTCCTGCTTCGTTTAAACTGGCCTTACATTCATTGCTTCAGGGAAGAGTTGGCTGAAGCTGAATTTGACACTGTGGAACAGGTCAACTTCCTGAATTATTCTTCATAGGAATTTGAAGGAAAGTGAGTTTTAACATTTTCTTATAAATGAAAATTAAAAACCACTTGCAATTTATAACATGCTGATATTTAATTTCAGAATTTCAATGAATACACTTCTATCTATATTTATAATCCCACTTAGTCTCATGGCATGTTCACATTAATTGAGCCATATATAATACCATCCTGTGCAATAATATGAGAAATATTTTAGTAATTAAGGGCAATTATTAAAAATCTTTTCTTCTTTAAAGTTCTCTTTCTGCTTATTAATCCATCGGCTTTATATGAGAAAGGAATAGTTGTTTCCAATATCACAGAAAAACAATTCCAGCCTAATTTAAGCATATTGGAAGGCACAGCTTCTTTAACTGATAAAGTGAATATTTACTATACCTTCTCATAAGAAGATGCTCTTTCCCATCAGTTCTCAACAGTTGCTTCCCATTTTAAGTAATGAAAATATTGAAGTATTTCAGCAATAGTATTATAAGGACACATCAGTATAAATTCTATGAACTTGTTATATTTTGAAATAGGGTAAAAAGTGGAACTATACCAATGGGTGTCATAAACCCCGTAAAGAACTGTATTTCAGTTGGATTGAGATATCAAACCTTTTCACTGCACAGAAACAGTTGGTGATGCTAAACTTTTTGTTTTCAATGTAGCCCTACTTCAAAGCCATAAATACTTGAGACCAGCTGTCTGCCCAGTCTGCAGTGCTGAACCATGCCTTTGTCTAGTCCCTCAGCAGTAGTAAAAACAGAAATGCAAAATGAAAATGATCCTTTAGCAGGGTGGAATTGTGCTATGTTAAGGAGAAAAAATACTCCCTCCAGCAGCTGTATGTCATTAAATATTAAATATAAAAAAGTTTACTTTGTGATGTGTGTTTTTACCCTAGAGCAGATAGAATAAATCAAAGAAAAGAAAACCCTCTTGATCCCTCAAGTGTCTGAGAAAAACATAACATTTTAACAAGAGGCCCCAAACTAGTGAATATTTCAATAGTTTCTTGCAACTTTTAATGGTCCTTGGAGTATTACCAGCCAAAATTGCAGCATGATTTTCCACAGACTTGTTCTTGAACTTTGGATGACAACTTCCTTCTGCAAGTAACAGAGGAGCCGACAAGGAGAGGTGCCGTGCTTGACCTCGTGCTCACCAACAGGGAAGGGCTCGTTGGAAATGTGACACTCCAGGGCAGCCTTGGATGCAGTGATCACGAGATGGTCAAGTTTGAGATCCTCAGGACGTTGAGAAGAGCGTGCAGCAAGCTCACTGCCCTGGACTTCAAAAGAGCAGACTTTGGCCTTTTCAGGAACCTGCTTAGGAAGGTTCCATGGGATATAGCCCTAGAGGGCAGGGGGGCCCAGGACTCTTGGTGGATATTCAAGGATCACCTGCTACAAGCTCAGGAGTGTTGCATCCTGACTAGAAGGGAGTGCAGCAGGAGGGCCAGGAGACCTCCTGGGATGGATAAGGAGCTGCTGAGGAAGCTACCAGGAGAATTGGCTACCCTGGATTTAGAGAAGACTGAGGTTCTCAATGACTTCTTTACCTCAGTCTTCACTGGCAAATGCTCCGACGACACCACCCAAGTCTTGGAAGGCAGAAGCAGGGACTGTGAGAATGAAGACCTTGGGCCCACTGTAGGAGAGGATCTGGTTCGAGACCATCTTAAAAACCTGAACATGCACAAGTCCATAGGACCTGATGAAATCCATCTGCGGGTCCTGAAGGAGCTGGCGAACGAAGTTTCTAAGCCACTGTCCATCATATTTGAAAAATCATGGCAGTCAGGTGAAGTTCCCGATGACTGGAAAAAGGGAAATATAACCCCCATTTTCAAGATGGGGAAAATGGATGACCCAGGGAACTACAGACCAGTCAGTCTCACCTCTGTGCCTGGCAAAATCTTGGAGCAGATTCTCCTGGAAGGCATGCTAAGGCACATGAAAAACAACAAGGTGCTTGGTGACAGCCAGCATGGCTTCACTGAGGGGAAATCCTGCCTGACCAATTTGGTGGCCTTCTATGATGGGGCTACATAACTGATGGACAGGGGTAGAGCAGTTGATGTCATCTGCCTGGGCTTGTGCAAAGCATTCGACACTGTCCCACACGACATCCTTGTCTCTACATTGGAGAGACATCAATTTGATGGATGGACCACTCGGTGGATAAAGAACTGGCTGGATGGCCGCACACAAAGAGCTGTGGTCAATGACTCGGTGTCCGGCTGGAGACCAGTAACGAGTGGTGTCCCTCAGGGATCGGTGTTGGGACCGGTCTTGTTCAACATCTTTGTCGCTGACATGGACGGTGGGATTGAGTGCACCCCTGAGCAAGTCTGCCGATGACACCAAGCTGTGTGGTTCAGTTGATACCCTGGAGGGAAGGAATGCCATCCAGAGGGACCTTGACATGCTTGTGAGGTGGGCTGATGCCAACCTGGTGGAGTTTAACCATGCCAAGGGCAAGGTCCTACACCTGGGTCGGAGCAATCCCAGGCACAGCTACAGGTTGGGCAGAGAAGAGATTCAGAGCAGCCCTGCAGAGAAGGACTTGGGGGTGTTGGTTGATGAGAAAATGAACATGAGCCGGCTTCAGTGTGCACTCGCAGCCTAGAAAACCAGCCGTATCCTGGGCTGCATCAAAAGGAGCGTGACCAGCAGGTCGAAGGAGGTGATCCTGCCCCTCTGCTCTGCTCTTTTGAGACCTCACCTGGAGCATTGTGTGCAGTTCTGGTGTCCTCAACATAAAAAGGACATGGAACTGTTGGAACAAGTCCAGAGGAGGCCACGAGGATGATCAGGGACTGGAGCACCTCCTGTATGAAGAGAGGCTGAGAAGGTTGGGGCTGTTCAGCCTGGGGAAGAGAAGGCTGTGTGGAGACCTCATAGCAGCCTTTCCAGTATCTGAAGGGGGCCTATAGGGATGCTGGCAAGGGACTCTTCATTAGGGATTGTAGGGATAGGACAAGGGGTAATGGGTTCAAACTTAAACAGGGGAAGTTTAGATTGGATATAAGGAAGAAATTCTTTACTGTTAGGGTGGTGAGGCATTGGAATGGGTTGCCCAGGGAGGTTGTGAATGCTCCATCCCTGGCAGTGTTCAAGTCCAGGTTGGACAGAGCCTTGGGTGGCATGGTTTAATGTGAGGTGTCCCTGCCCACGGCAGGGGGGTTGGAACTGGATGATCTTAAGGTCCTTCCCAACCCGAACTATTCTATGATTCTATTTGTTAGATACTTAGTCGCGCTATCATTTTAACTTGCCACATCTTCAAAACATTAATTGTATGCGTATTAGTTGCATATGGCATTCAGTAGTAGTAGGTATCTCTTGGATTGCTGCTTGGTTTTTTTCAGCTCTATTTCATTTATTTCCTTTTTCCTGGCAAAGGTTTTATTTTCCTCTTAAGGGAAATCCTAACTGATTCAAATGAGGACTCCCAAGGGACTTACTTAATCCACTTGATGAAACACAAATTGTTGTGTGTTTCGGAAACAAATAAACTATTAGGCTGTACAAGTCATGTCCTTCAACACTATACAACAGTCTTTTCAATGCTCTAGGGAAATGAGTAGACTTCAACTAACTTGATGCAGTTTTAATACTGACCTATAGACTAATATTTCTGTGGTCCAACCCAGTGGTCTCCAAACCTTTTCAACATGACCACCTATGGCAGATACCCCAAAGTATGTATTTTATTTATAAATTATGCATATGTAATACTGTACTAATATATTTATGTACATTATAAAACATACATTAGAAAAGTATTAGACAGAAATAAAATAGTGTCTAAAAAATAATCTTCTATTTAATAATGGCAAAATATATGGTCTTCCTGCATCCCAGTGGATTGTCCCTGATGTGCGTGCAGCCCACTTTAAGACCACTAATCTAAAGAGTACCTGGAAGGGGTGAGTAACAGCAGGATGTCTCCAGCTGCCCCATCTTTTGCACCGTACCATGGCTTACCAGATTTCTCTGGAATGATTCATGCTTCCAGAGCTCCTCACATACACTGGTCTCAAAGCCAAAGGACCCTACTGAGCCAATCTTCAAATTCACAATGGAACTTTAGCTCCAAAAGCACGTAAACATTAAAAAAAATTACATACTGCTCAAAAGCTTTTATCAATCATGTACGGGGTCTTATCAATAAAACCTTGCCATATCAAAAGGATTCCCTACCTAAATGTGAATTATTTAAGGAGCCAAGCAGCTGATAACATCTAACTGATGAGCCGAATCTTATCCTGAATGTCAGCTCCTGCAAGAATTGCTAAGATGGGTCTCCCCAGACTTTTTAAGGCCTTAGCAAAATAATCTGGTTCTTTCTTCATCAGGAAGCCAGCAAACACCATCTGCTGACAGGGCTTCTGCCTGCACCAGCCCCCCAGCTTAGAATGGCCAGAAATGACGTTATTCCTAATCAAAAATTAGCTGATTTCATCAGCTGTCTTTGAAGTGTGAACTTCAAGGTCAACAGAGTAAGATTTCAAGTCATGAAGAAGTCAGTAACAGATAGGAAGAAGGCTTTATAAAGAAAATCATTAACAAATCCCTCTTTTATAGGAGCATTCCATCTGCAGTGTTGTAAGAGAACATCATTTGTGTGGTGCAGTCTGAGCAAAAACAGACTAAAAATACAGCCAGAAATCTAAAGGAAGCCAATACATCTCATAGCATGAGTGAGCCTATAGGAAAATGGACTAGGCTTAAAAAGCCCATCTCCATTCATGTAATGATATAAAGGGAAGGCTCCAAGTTTCACCATCTCCAATAACTGCTATTGTAACATGAAAAGCGTTTTATCTTGGAATACTCGTTAAAAATAACTGTCAGAGAACAGATGCGCTTCAGTGACTTGAGATTGTTCTTGTTTTCTTCATAAAGAAGTATAGGCAAAGAATACAAAATCTATGCCCCCTCTTGTTTCATATGAATAACTAAGTAATATTTTCTTTGCGACCAGCAAACACACATTTCCCCTTCCCAGCTACAGCCTCATTCTAGTCCAGTTAAAAGTCACAAAGCAAATATGAGATAGGTATTTCTGTTACTCATGCCAACCAGTTTCCTGTTCTTTTCCATCTGAAGACTCGGGTAGAACACAAACACAAGAGACTTGGTTACTGAGAACACTTCCTTGCTTTGTGCATAGATGTGCAATTAAACCCAAGAACACAGCTATATTTGTAACAGCAGAATTTTCACAACACAGATGATGTGCTGAGCATACTTCAGTAACTTTGGCATTAGTTTCCACATACACATAAAGCTGCCAGCACGCACCTTTGACCAAAGTGTGTTTGTCAGTGGGAGATGAGCGAGCAAGCACCCGAAGCTTTGGCCAGATTTTGTCGATCCTTTCTTGCTCAATCTGGAGGGGGAGACACAAAAAAACACCCAGAACAGTAGAACTGTTAGCCTGTGATTAGCAACATGCAAACTACATTTATGTCTGTGTGGCAGCTGATCTGCTTCACTGCCCTGGTCTGCAAGCTTACTCCAAAAGCACAGAAAAATTACAAGAGCCATCAAAACTGCAAATGAAGACAAGGTGAAAACAGGCAGTTTACTACTGTCGAAGCTCAGATGTTGGCTAACGTCGGTATATTTGCCACGGTACCTAATTAGCTTTTCTTATCATCTTTATGGATTAATTCCACTCTGTATCATGACTCTAGGTAGAGGATGTTGACAAGTAGAAGAGTGTTATTCTATTCTAACTTTGAAGCCAAATCCTTCACTCCATTTTGACACCAATAATGGCATAATTTTCTCTGTATACCAATATAACAAGTACAAACCTGTTGCTTATACTAACATTCCCGGGATTCCATCAACCAATGCAAGGAATAAATGACTATGTCCATTTATTGGTGATAGACTCAAAGGGACAACACAGCATTTGATTTTTTAAAGCTGACTTCAATCAACTGTGTGTTAGCTTCATCTTTTATGAGGAGTTAAAAATCTTCTGAAGAATAGATAAAGTTATGCAAATGGTTAGAGTGAGTGGATATAGCAGTACACTAGATAAACTGCTATAAAGAAATGGGAGGAGCTGGTTCTCAGTACACTAAAATTCTATGAGAGAGATCTGCAAACTGCTGTTGAGTTCCTTCTCGTTGCTAACAAACCTGCTTGAAGGTGCTTAGTTTGATTTCTTGTAGACTGGTGCTGTGGTTCTAAACAGCGCTGAATTAGGCTGGCACTAAGCCCAGAGTGGCTCTGCATGAGGAGAAGGTGGCCACATTTTCAGTGGTATTCTGAATTGCAGAGGCTAGCAGCAGAAAGAAGTAGCAACCTCTCCAAGTAGTCTTTACTGATATGAGGTATACTGTATACGAGGTAGTCAGTATATGAATTACCTCTCCTTTCTCATTTCGGATCCTTCTGTTGAACTCTTTCCCTTCAAGGCAGAGAAAGTCTTCTCCTGGATGAATGATTCCACATTTTATGGCAATGGCACGTGCTGTGTTGATGTTGTCTCCAGTGACCATGCGGACTGTAATTCCAGCTCGCTGGCACTTTCTTATGGCTTCTGGGACCTACAAAAGCAATATAACAGGAGAGAAAGTTCCTAGGTAAGAGATAAAGTTTAAGTAATTCTGTTTTAAATCAGAATATTTTAAGGCTAGGAAATTCATGAAGAAAAAAGTGAAATCATATGGTTTATGGCATATTATAGCTATCTGACTATTACAGAATTGAAGTTATGCCTCAGGCAAGACATGTCTTGTACTGAGGAGCACGCAGACCCTTTTTAAGACAAGCTGCCTAAAGCTTCTCCTGACTTTACTAAAAAGGAGTGCTCTACAGCTTTTCTGACCTTTAGCATCAGGCAGAGCATGCTGTACACCTCAAGAACAGCCTAGACAGATACCTTCAGCATACCACCACTTCTCTAAATTTCATTTGTACCTAGAAGAGCCTAAGGGCATCCCAGGACTCCTAATGAAGGCAGAAACCCTTCCCAGAACTAGTGAAACTGAACTTCCTTACTACAACAGATAGCAAGGAACAGACATAAAGCATTTCTAGGTTGCACTGGTTCTTACATGTGGGGCAGTGGAGAGGTATGAGAAGCAGACAAATGACACTCAGGAGAGGAAAAAGATTCCCTAAAGATGAGCATGACTTAGATAAGCATTTGAACATTAGGCAGTGATCCTAAGTAAACCTCCAGGAAATCTGAAGGTTATCCCTCAAATTAAAACAGCTCCAAAGACCTGGCCCTAGATGCTTGCTCTGCAGTGTTGCCTAAAACTCTTAATCTGTGTAATTCATACATAAATCATACTTGCATAAATTCCCCAGATACACAGCTGACCACTGACTGCAAATTGCTGCTGTATGACAGCTGAGCTCCTTCAGTAGACAGTTATGTAAAGTAACACGATTGTCTGACTGTGATGAGTTATGTCAGCAGTCATGTATATAGAGAGCTGTTGATTTCCTACATAAACTAATAAGCAAAGGATATGATTATGAAAGTGATTTTATCATGCTTATTGAAAACTAAGAAATAAAACCAGCACCCCTCCCCCCAAAAAAAGAAACCAAAAATCCAAAAAAAAAACCCAAACCAAAAACTCCACAAAAAAAAACAACAAAAAGCCCCAAAATAACCAAGAATTAAAGGGTTATCAAAATGATATTACTGGCTACAATAGCAAAGCCTCGTTATATTCTACCAGTTCAGTGCAGTTTGCCGATCGTAACCTCTATCATAGATATAAGTGTATTGTAGAACTCAGTGCCAATTAGAAGGGATTAATCTCACCCATTAGTACAGAAAACATTAAGAAAAAGGGCCACCATCTACAAGATTACCCTGTTACTTCTGTGCATCTCTAGATATTTTAATTTCCTCTGTAGCTGCAATATGTGACACTGCCGAGGGCAGGGCATTGCCTTTTGCATGACAGCCACTGTTCTGATCCAGTGTGGCAAATGCTGGCCTTCTAATGATTCCATGGGGCCAGAGAGGCTATGTATCTCAGGCTGCACGTCAGACTGAAATTACACACCCTTAAACCATATTGTAGATAATGATTACTCTAATCAGTGAATACAATTTCACACCATGTTTCTGCATCTTTAATAAAGGCAGCTGCAAAGCTTCCATTTCCCCTCACTGAGCTAAGACCTAACTGAGGATCGGACTAGTACTTGCCCCATGACTACAAAGGAAATCCCTCCACCCTGAGGCTGCATCCATACAATGTGCTGTTTGGAGAATGACTCTGTCAATTCTGATGACAGACCCAAAATGAAGAAATAAGGGACAGAGATTTATCTTCCCATTCTCCTATCTCTACTAACAGAATATTATTCCCACAAGTTGGATCCTAGAAACATTATTTGGACTTAAAGCCTTTTAGCATTATGAGCTAGACTTCTGGAGAGGTATACAGTCTATGGGGGCATTAAATCTATTGCTTAAGCAAATGACTCCTGATCTAGCCAGTTGCCACATTAATAACCCTGTCTATACCCCATTTGCCAATTTGGAATGTCCTTAGTAGCCACTTTAACTGTGGTGACTGTCATGCATAGGATAGGACAGATTTAGATGACTTTCTGTAAAACCAGCACAGTGGATGAACCATGAAGGAGAAAATAAATTACAGTGCAAACAGAAAAAGGTTTAGTCAGAAAAAGTGCCAGTCCTATTACACAAGGTCACGGGAGGACAACCTAGTTTCCAAACCATCTCAAAATCAAATAGAACTAGAGATATAATTCTATTTTCCTCTTCTCTCATTTTTTGGACAGCTGGTGGGTGGTAACTGATTTAATACTGTGTACAGTAATTACAGTGAAAATATTGTTCCTATTTTTTTATTGCTGTAAGGAAGAAAGAGTGTTGGCAGACTGAGTGGGCAGGGGAAGCACATATTTTCCATTAGTTCTGCAGAGCTTCAGTACACATTTTAAAATCCTCTGGTCTGCAAAGAAAAACCTCCTGGTGCATGCACACATGCATAAATTTCCCAGTGCAGGAATATCTATCAGAATCAGGTGGCAAATAAATAGGTGGCATTTGGAAGTGGTTTATGTTCATCTCCCAGAAATAACAGCTTGTAGGCGTACATTGGCAAATCAGTGTAAGCCAGTTCAGACTCATTAAAATCAATCCAGAAAGACTGTCAAAATCAACAGAGAATCTCTACAGGAACAAGACATCATTCCATTTGTTCTCACATATTTATCAAAGAAAAAAACACATACGCACACAAAGATAAATATTAAGCAGGTAGTTCAGCGCTGCTGACATGGAATTAAGCCAGTGTCTGAATTAACCAAGGAATTATGCAGAAGTCATGGGTGCCCAGTGGTTACACTCCTGATAAAGCTGTTCAGTTGCTGGATATCACTGTTGAATAATTAATCCAAATAGTTCCTTTTCTTGTACAGAAGGAAATGCAAGTGCAAGAAAGCTCCCAGCATTACCCTCAGAACAGATGGCAGAACTCTGAACTCATGCAAGCATGGCACCACTGACACTGCAGGGATTCTAAGGATGCACACCAGCACTGTGCCACAGGAGCTTAGTGGAAACAAGTAGGCTTCCATTTTGCATGTGTTAACTAAGTCATCTTAGGGAAAAGGAGAAAAGCAAGCCTTTCCCAAGAAAGATGTGAATGTAATTTAAGGAAACTAAAGGTGACCAGGATGGTGACACTGGATTGTTTCATTGGATATACCTAATCTAACATTTGTGTCAGAACAAATGCTGATACCCATGGGAATAATAAAGCAGCAGCTGCAGTAATAGTTCTATTTTCTTATACTCTTCTTCCTTACAGAAGGCATTTGGAATGTGGTGTCTAGTGGTGACTCTATTTAATAAGTGGGCTTAATTCTGGCAAAATACTAAGATCCCTTATAACAAACAGCTCGATATCTTACTATTTGCCTTTACAATGAGGATTTCACCACTGTAATATATGTATAGTATGATATTCCCACTAAATCAGGTATTCCAGACCTAGCCAGTTTGTCTGAACGTCACTGGGGTTTTGCTGGCTTGGGTTGTTTTTTTGTTCCTTCCTTTCTCCTAAGGCACTGCTACTACTTTCTATCCATGTATGGTGTAATAAGAAATTAAACATTGTTTTAAAAGTTCTCATGACATTATTACCACTTAAAAACAGCAAAGAGGGAATAGGAGGGGGAAAAAGAAGAAAAGGCAAACCCCAAAGCCCCCCAAACCAATTGTCCAACATTTGGTAAAATTTTCAAATAATAAACATTTTACCATGTGTCTTGCAACAAAGTAAGAAGCATATTCTGGTGCTGAACTACAAGAAATTCAATACATTATTCACATAATTATCTAGAAATAAAGTGCTTCCCTGCCTTCACCTTCTTTGATCCTTTACACGGAAGTCAGAATTGACCTCTTTATTTTTAGCAACGTTACTCATTTTTACCTCAAGCTCCTTAGCAATTATTCCCTATGAGAGGAGAGCGGTTCTCTTCTAAAACATCCTCATCATAATCTCATGACTGGATAGTTTGCAGCTATTTTCAATAATGAGTGCAAATCCCTCATTATTTGGATAATATGCTACCCATCCCCTCGGTCTGTCACACACACACAACCTGACCTACAGCTATTTTCTCACATGGACCATGAACCAGTTTGGAGGGAAAGAGGATTGAGTCACAGCTCCAGTGGTCACTGGCACTTAGAAACTTTCTGGGTGAAATGTAGGTGAGCTAGAGCATTAAGGGATTGCTGCAGGCAGAGCATTTTAAGGCTTTTAAACAGTTTTAGGTGTTCAGAGTCAGGTGTAGGGACAGATGGGTTAGCAACAAGAGACCATCTGACAACAGATAAAGTGAATGCTGTGTATATGATGGCTGTAGAGATAACGAGTTTATTGTAGAGTCTGCACCTAAGCAAGATTTACTCTACATTAGAACAGAAAGTAGTTATGCAGTTGGTATCTGTAGTTGTAATGTTAGTTTCCAACGTTACAACAGTCAGAAGAGTGTACTTCATAAAAGACTTGGGGAAATAAATCTGAGCTTCTCCAGGCAACCTGTGCTAGTGTCTCACTACCCTCACAGTGAAAAATTGCTTCCTAATGTCTAATCTAAATCTCCCTCTGTGAGTTTAAAGCCATTCCCACTTGTCCTGTCACTACAGGCCCATGTCAAAAGCCGCTCTCCGGATTCCGTGACAGCCCCAAAATCTTGTAAGTGCAGTAGCAGGCACATGCTTCCAATATGCACAGCCAGTGCTGACTGTCTCAGTTAAGTGGAAATTTTAGTCGTATTTGTACAAGCCATTGAAGTATAGTAGCCATGAAATCTGCAGCCTTTCCATAGCAAATTCCTTAGTGCAAATACGCTAAAACCAGTTTTCCTGAGTAGCCACCAGTTACAACCTTAAGACAATTAGTAAAGTGGCAACTGTTACATAGACTCCCAGCCTGCCTGCAACTTCTGTGGCAAGCGAGCCCACTGCAGTTAAAATCACAGGATCACAGAAACATGGCAATTCTAATCACTGCACGTCTTTACTGTCAGAGTTGCACATCACTGCATTACTTAAAGGAAAATTCTTTAAAACTTCTGCTGAATACTACACCTGGAGAGAAGGTTCAGTCATCTCAGTGCTGTCATTCAGAACACCCTATTCTGCTTTATTTAAACAATGGTTGATTAATAGTTGATTTTTATCAGGTTAATTATTCGACTTCTTATCAAGAAAAGTCTGTTTCTAAAGTTCACTCCTGCCTGCTTTGACAGAGCTAATTAAAATTGAAAAAAAATAAAACCTGCAAGAAACCTGTAGTTTCTTGGTTAATGTTCAGCTCTCTGAGAAATGCTGTAGAACATAAGAATCAATATACCTCTGGCCTTACTGGGTCTTCAATGCCAACAACACAAATGCAGGTCAGGTCAGACAATATGTCATTTTCATTGTCCCAGTCAGGCTCTGGGCTGCTGCTGAAGTCTCGGAAGGCAACACAGATGGTTCTCAGCCCATCGCAGGCCATGGGTTCTATCACTTTCTTCACCATTTCATCTCGGTCACGGGGTCTGAAGATCCGAGGTTCACCAGCTGCATTGAGGATCCTGGAACATCTGTTTGATTTGAGAAAATACATAAGTCGACTGTATATATGCATGACTGCTGACAGGTATTCCTTTGTGTGAGCATATTTCATTCCACAGTTTCCTTTTTGATGGCAAGATTTGAATTTCCAGTCTAAATATCTACATTAAACAAGAAGATTCACTACTGAACTGCCAGAGAGATTTTGTTTGCGACTTATTACAAAGACACTAAGAGCCCTGCAGCCATTATTTCCTCAATAACCATGTAATTAATGAGCTGACAACTTACAATGAAATTGAAAACTCCTGATTTTCCAAAGGGCTTGAGCATAAACCATACTGAATGGTCTGACCCAAATGCAGACCCAAATCTTTGGCTAGCCAGTGGTAAGAAAAATAAGCCAAAGAGTCTTGCAAGAGTGAGCACTTAAAAAATATATATTTAGAAAATAACAGTAACAGGTTATACTCCTACAGTGTGTCATATTTCTGCTGTAAGTAGCAAGTTCCCAGGACCAAAATTCTCCCATTGTCTTAATAGTGTCAGAACACTTTGCCTTTTGGAAAAACACAGCAACTAATCCACTGGAACTTACTTCTTCAGCACGATTTCAGAGGCTCCTTTGCTGTACATTCGGAAACTGCCATCTGGCATTTTAATGACAGTACTCATTGACTTTCTCACAGAGTTGAAGGTGTAAACTTTATAGAGCTTCTCCTCGGGGATGAGGTTTCGAACAGGCTCATAATCCTGCTTTAAATCCAGGACAAATCCCAAGAGCCCACACTCCGTCTTATTGCCGACCTGGCGAGGCAGGCCACCCTCTTTCTCTGGTGGCTGAAGAGAAGGGAAAACCAGATATTAATTTCTCTACTGATAAGCAGTATACCACAGCTTCTGAACAATGAATGCAGAGTTGAAATGGACAGTTTAAGATCTGAAACTCGCTGCCACTAGTCTTCCAAGATTTAAAAACCAGCAAAAAATCTCACAGAGCTATAACCAACTTAAAGCAGCTATTCTCACAATGAGGAACATTTCCCTAGCCAAATAGCTACATTTGGTATCTTGCATTTCTTCACTTTCAAATGAACCATTGGCAGTTGAGTATCTTGTGATGGTAAAAAATTAAGTTTAAGCTCAAAAAGAATTCATTCTCATTTGTCAAAACCAGGGGATTTCATTTTCTCACCTGCTTGAATTACATTGTTTTGCTGACTTTCATGGTTGTCTGCTGGTAACTCAGAACCACGCAGCCACGCACACCCTTCCTCCCCCCACTACCAGAAGGATGGGGAGGAGAATCAAAAGAATGTAATTCACACAGGTTGAGATAAGAGCAGTCCAGTAACTAAGGCATAACACAAACCACTGCTGCTGCCACCAATAATAATAATGATAAAGGAAATTAACAAGGGAAGAGAATACAACCGCTCACCACCCTCCGACCGATACCCAGCCTGACCGAACAGTGATCTAGCCCTTCCGGGTAACTCCTCCCAGTTTATATAGCGGGCATGACGTGCTGTGGTATGGAATACCCCTTTGGCTAGTTGGGTCAGGGGTCCTGCCTCCACTTCCTCCCAGCTTCCCCTCCTCCCTGGCAGAGCATGAGACTCACAAAGTCCTTGGTCAGAGTAACCATTACTGGGCAATAACTGAAAACACCGGTGTTATCAGTGCTGTTCCCAGGCTGAAAGTCAAAAACACAGCACTGCACCAGCTACTAAGATGGAGAAAAATGACTGCTACTGCTGTACCCAGGGCAACGGTTAAAGAAAGATCTGTCCTTTTCTTCCTACCAGGCATTTTTTTATGTAAAAATAAATCTATGTCTAATCATAGCAGCAAATTTCAGTGAAAAAGGTATTTCCAACAATCTATAAAATAATAGTTCTACAACTAAAAGTTGCTGTTTCTGTAATTACCATATTTTAGTCTGCTGCTTCAGACAATAAAGGCTTTATATGTTATGAAAAAATGGAGCAGACTAGTCTAGAATTAAAGAAGTGTTGCTTAAGCCAGGGCTAAACTATACTTAGGGGAACCAAAAGGAGAAGCGCTTTCAAAACTTTCATTTGCATGGAAAATAGATTTGACTCAGGACAAGACTGTAAGTCATCATTTTTAATGAGACTTCAACTACTGACTCAAATGTTGCAGAATTAGGACTGCAGGACAATATTCATAATCCACGTTTAATTCCACTAAAGACTTCAAAATTCAGCCTACTTCAGAAATAGGATTCCTAAAGCAATGGAATTCCCTACACTGCCCCTCAGTGTGATGAGGGGGTCACGTAGGGATTGATTAAAGTTGCATACCAGTAATCCTACTTAGATTTGAATTCTTGAAAAAATACAGCCCCAAAAAGGGAAAAGGGGACCTTTAAATAAGTATTAATAAGTATGTATATATTGCAGATACCCACCAATTGCAGCTGGGGTAGAAAATGAAAGTCAGATAGATAATAATAGACTGGTATAGAACTGTGGCAACAAAATAAACACAGATTTTTCCATAAGAATCATCTTTCCATCACCAGGAAAATATATACCTGATGACAGACAGAGCCATGTAGTTTCTTTTTCAGAGAGAGGCATCTACGGTGAAGAACAGGTAATAAATTTGGTAGTAATAATACGTAATTTGATAGGCTGAGAAAGTTGGGGCTGTTCAGCCTGGAGAAGAGAAGGCTGTGTGGAGACCTCATAGAAGCCTTCCAGTATCTGAAGGGGGGCCTATAGGGATGCTGGGGAGGGACTCTTCATTAGGGACTGTAGTGACAGGACAAAGGGTAACGGGTTAAAACTTAAACAGGGGAAGTTTAGATTGGATATAAGCAGGAAGCTCTTTACTGTGAGGGTGGTGAGGCACTGGAATGGGTTGCCCAGGGAGGCTGTGAATGCTCCATCCCTGGCAGTGTTCAAGGCCAGGTTGGATGAAGCCTTGGGTGAGATGGTTTAGTGTGAGGTGTCCCTGCCCATGGCAGGGGGGTTGGAACTGGATGATCTTAAGGTCCTTTCCAACCCTAACTATTCTATGATTCTATCTAAAAATCTCTGTCTCAAAGAGATTTATCCTTCCAAAAAGAGTTATAACATCTTACCTCTATATAAGCCATCATTTTTACTGAGTTATATGGGTTGCATTTGTGTTGCTGTGACATTTTAGCCTTACTCCAGGGGCAATGTAAAATTCTGATACTCAGTGAAGATGCTAGCATATTAATTTTATTATATGCTATAACAATTTGCCCTTCTAGAATCCAATTATACTGTGATGTAACCTCTCCCTGGATTCTCAAATTCACTCAAGAACCCCTAATGTAAGATGCAAGTGCTCACAGTTATGTGTATTTGGAAGGATTGTTACATTCAGATACGACAATCTCAGGAGTCAAAAAGACAGCCTTTAAAATACAGTTTTGTTTAAAAACATTTTCATGACATCGCAGGTGCACATCTCCTGAAACATGCTAAGAACTTCAGCTTTCTTAATGCAATAGAGTAGTCATCCTCTCTGCCTGGGTAGGGATGCCAGGAAAGGCCAGTTTCTCCATGTATATCCTGTCAAACTCTTTCCATTTCAGATTTAAATCCTCAGCTAAGCTTTGGTTCTCTCTGCCACCAAAGTCAATAAACCTTGACATTGACTTAAATGTGAATGTGACCAAGCAACTAGCAAACATACACTGGCAGCCAATAAAAGACATCAGTTTCTTTCCACCAAAGGACATACAATCCTAGACAATAGTTAATTTATACATAAGATTTCATCATGCCCTGATATGAATGGACATTGAGAAAAAAAATCTACCCACATTTCACAATATAAAAACTAAATATTAGAGTCCTTCTAGAATGATTTTCATTTCAGCGAAAACTAGATCACATTCTCCTCTTCTTACCATGCTCTAAAAACAGATTTCTTTTACAGAACATCTTTTGAATGCAAATACGTAAGCAAGGAGAAAAAAATACCAGTGACAAGAAAACGAACAGACATTTCAGAAAGGTTTCAAACCCTGACAAGTGGCCACCTCCCTCTAGAGCAGCTGCTGTCTCCATATTCTTTGTACGTTACATTATAATAAAGCATATGGTGGTGAGAGCTGGCAAGCAGCACTTCCTTTCCTGTACTGCTTCAGCTCAAAATCTATATGCCAAAAGCAGTCTTCTTGCAGATTGTTCCTGACAATCCTTTGCAGAAGCTGCTGGCTTTTAAACCTTCCTACCGTGCTGTATCTAAATTTATTTCTTGCTGAAATCTGCAGGTTTTGGCACCTGGAAAACAACTGAAAGGACAGCCCAAAGGGGTTACTTTTAAATATTTAACTAGGAACAACTTCATTGACTCCTCAGAGAATGGAAATCCTTTGATAACGTGTGAGAGAACTGTGATTTGTAAATGGGATCTTCACCTTTTTGAACGTGCTGTTTCTCAAGAGCTCAATGGTAGAGCTTTTGCTAGGCACAAGGCAGCCACATACTGTGCAAGCTTCTACTAGGAAGAAACTGATCCAGTATCTTCCCCAGCAACAACCTTGCACTGATCCTTGTAACACATTTGCAAATGTTTTTTCCAAGTCGTTATATTATTTAGGTAATAATAGTATTTGAAGTGTAAGTGAATACTTGCATGTAAAACAAACTGCAGGCAGAGGTACAACTACCAAATCAAAATAGGTTTCTAGGTCAAAGTACAGCTGTATTATTAAGCCCTAAAAATAATCCAAAAGCTAGTATTGACCTAACAGGGAATCTGGATTACAAAAGGTGTTTTCAGATTTTTTTCACAGGAAAATAATTAACTAGTAAGATGGGCTAAGAATGAAGAAAGGGAAAACTATGGGCCTAACTTCTAGAGGTGCTTTAACTTTTAAAATCAGATTACTAAATCATAATGCCTCGATTTTTGCCATAACACTTATTAAACCTCATTTTTCTCATTGCCCCTTTTGATGTGAAACGGGAGGACCTAGCAAGAAGATCCAAGCAGTCTTTCCACATTAAAATCTTAGGTTTTCATGCATTCTCTGAAGTAATTTGTTTTATGTTGTTCTCCTGTGTTCCGCACATTGAACCACTCCTTTAGAATAATAAAGACTGGAAATACAGCAATTTTATCAAGATAAAACCCCAAACGTTTCTAGGCTATGATATCCATATCAAATGTTTCATTTCAACTCCATTTGCAACAGGCAAACAGAGGAAAATACATTTTTAAACTGCAAAAAAAAAAAAAATCTATTCTGGAATTTATTTATTCAGCAAAGAGAAAACAGACCAGGATGTGCGGGGTTTTTCTCTGTATGTTTAAACATTGTATGTGTAAAACCAAGAAGGATCAATGCTGCCTGAACCATGGACTACTTTTATTATTTAATTCCTAATACTGTAAAAAGGAGAACTACTAAAAAACTAGAGTGCTATCAAATGCAGAGATGCTCCCTCATTACCTATTTTGAATCAATGGTTTAATGGAAGAAATCTAAAGGAAGATTAAACCACACAAAATTGATAATCACAGAATCGTTAGGGTTGGAAAGGACCTTAAAATCATCTAGTTCCACCGCCCCTGCCGTGGGCAGGGACACCTTATGCTAAATCATATCACCCAATCTTAAGTATCAGCTTTTTGTAGATATAGATGTATTCAACCGACCTCAAGCTAAGCTAAGACAGATTTAGAAATGACTGTTTATCTTAGAGAAAAACTTCAACATGGAAGGAGTGTGCTTTTTCTAGCCAAGGATTAAGAAACAAAACATGCTTGACTAAATAAGTTTTCAATTACAAAATGGGAAACAATTTCAGAAGATGTGTTGAAATAAG